ACAGCGGAAATAGCTATTTTCATTATCAACATAGAAAATAGTTATTTTCACACACTGATATAAGGAAAACTAGTGTTGATATCCGTGCGATGCACGGGATGCAATACAAAAAATATTTATTATTGAAATATTATAAAATTATTTAAGATAATATGAAATTACATTCTCCACAATATTCTATTGAGTAATAATATGACATTTATTTATTTATTATTATTGTTAATTTCTATTTTTGTATAATTTTGTTGTAGTTTTTACTATTTAATATATAAATTTTATTATTTATAAGTTTATAAAATATTATAAATATATAAGATCATATGATATTTGCGTACAAATTATTTGTATGTACTTTTAAAATTGTCGTTTATTATAGTCTTATAATTTTTTTTTAATAATTCATAATTTGCACATTGCTTGATAATTAACCAACGTTTAACCCATAGTATTTATCTTCCGCTAGAATTATTAAGTGCATTAAATGTTAAAAACTTTGATAAACAAACTTTAATTTTTAGTGACTTTAATCCTTATGCAACACATAATTTTTTTATGGTTAAATATTTTATTTTTATGTTTCCATTTTTATTTATATTTATTTCTTTAATTCATTTTTTCAACCTATATAATGAGTTACATAGTATCTATTCGAATATTTTGATATATTTTCATAATTACCAAGTGCTATAATCTAAATTATTATACATTCCTTTTTTATTAGTTTATTTTTCATTTATAAAATAGTATATAAGAAAAAAAAATATTTTTAAAAATTGGATAGTTTTTAATGTACATAGGTACTTCTAAGGTGGAATTTATAATTTTGAATTGCACCTGACCATCAAATTTTATTTTTATTAGTATTATTTAAATTTTCAATACTATTATTACTGCATGTGATATATTAAATGGGGATGTACATTTTTATAGTTAAATTGACTACATATTTGAAACTTTTTTTAATATTTTAGATTATTTATTAAGTTATTATGATTTAAACATAGTTATTATACTTATTTTATTAAATATTTTAAGTACTTTTGAATAGTGAATATAATTAATTAAATTAATACCTACTGCCATAGATGATAATATATTTAATCAAATCAATTTCCATAATAAATTACTATTAAATTAATAGAAGATCTTACTTAAAATATATCTAATAAATTTACAGTCAAAATTTCAATTTAGTCAATTTGTAGTTAATGAGTAATAGTCATTGTCTCATTGAGTGTATAAAAATTAATTATATTTTTTTATGCATATGATTTGCTAATAAATAAATATTAATTAAATGAAAAATATAGACGAAAAAATTTCTCGCCCAAAATCATGTCAATTATGGCAATAACGATTTATCCATTATATAGATAATAGGTATAGACATAGATATAGATATAGATTTATGGTATAATTATAGGTTCGTATATTTATGGTATCATTGGGTGTCATTATCTTAATTGGTGGTATATATATTTTTACGTATTATTAAATATATATTTTTATGCATTATTAAATATCAGAATGATTCTCATACTTAAAATTAATTTTTTATTTTTAGAAAAATTGAAACAGAAATTTATTATTATTTTTATATAGATTTTTTTACTTAAAATTCTCAATCAATAACTTTTAGAAACTTCAAAAGAAGCTGAATAGTAAGTCGCATAAATATTAATGTAGATTCCATATTAATTTGAATTATTAATTGGATACTAATTTAGTTAAGTTAATAGAAAGTGCAAATGGAAACACGGATCTAAAGTATTCTTGACAAATGCAAAAATAATTAAACTTACAATTATACAACCAAATGTAGAAATGTTGCCAATTATAGTCATTGCATATCACCTTTATTTAGCAATAAATTCCATCAACTCCCTCTTTATATATATATAGATAATAAAATAGATTTAATCTGTCAATACGCTAAAATATGTTCAATACATTATTCAATTATCCACTTAGAAAAATAAATTAGAATGAGTCATTTATATAAGACCCTTAAATCCTAAACCTAATTTGTTCACCAGGATATAAATAATAAATAATTATTAAATGCTAATAAAAATAATAGATACTACTAAATATTCTAGTAATAATAAATATTTTGATACTTTGTCTGCACCATTCTCCCCCGATTGGGAAGGATTCGCCTTCGAATCCGATCCAATCACTTGGTCACAGTGGCGAACCAGAATCCGAATAAAGGGATGGCCGATTTTCCATTAGACCACAACAATTTTTTTTTTTTTTTACAATAATACCAAACAAACATAAAACTAAACAAAAACTATTTAAAATATCATTCAAATAATGTTATACAAAACATTAAAACAAGAAAGCAACCTAACTTCCAACCGATGGAGAAGAATGACTATGATTTGACAGGCGGTAACTGTATTCTTCGGGACGCCATCTTTTGAAACCTCTGTAAAATAACTTCATCTTCAATTTTTTCAAAGAGTTCCATTTCAATGTAACACACCAAACTATCTGTCAGAAATTCATCCCCCATCTTGTTACGCAAATCAGTCTTGATAATTTTCATCGAGGAGAAGGCTCTTTCAATGGTAGCTGTCGCGACGGGCAAAATTAGAGCCAACTCGATGAGCCGATAAACTAACTTGAGGGTAGTGTGCCATTTTCTCTCAACCATTCTCTTTGCAAGGTCTCCAATACTCTGAAGACCAGAGAAAAATGTACGCTCAGATGTTGTGACTACATCGTGAATCTGATTCAATTCTGCTTTTAGCTTGAGCTCATCATCAAAATCATTTGGATAAAGCTGAGCGAGGCGGAGTAGTCTTTCAACATCAAAGCTTGCAAAACAATCTCTAGGATCAAGACATACTATGCACTGAATAAGTTCTGAACTCAACTCTTCAAAACGGCTATCTATCTCTTGTAAAATACGATCAATAACCTAATATATTTAGAAAATAAGCTAATTATTCATATAATAATAAATGATAAACTATTTGTTAATATGAAATTAAAGAAACATAAGTACCTAAAGAAGATTTCCCGTCAAAAATGATGTAAATAAGTCTTTGGTTGATCATCCACTTTTCTTTGAGATCTACTAGGCCGACCCGGCATAGGATCTTCCATGTTAGGCACAGAAATACCTTTTTCAGAACAAAATGTTGTGACTTTCATCAATAAATCTTCCCAACCATCCTCCCTCAACTTCCTCAAATCGTTCTTGACCGATTTAATCAAAACAAGAGCATTGCCAATATTTTGAGTCTTTTCTTGTAAGGCCGCTGACAGTGCGCTTGTGCTTGCTAATATCGTCACCATCAAATGAGCAATGAATATAAATTCAAAACTTGTTGATTTATCAACCAAACCTTTAGCAACGCCTCGACTTTGAAAATCCGTGGCATCCTCCATAATACCATCCAAAACATCTTGTACCGCATCCCACATTTCCAAAATTCGGTTGATTGTCCTACAGTGAGATCCCCACCGTGTAGCACCTGGTCGAGCTAAACTCGTTTCTTGATTCTTGCCTGTCCCTGTAGAAATCTCACCACTTTCTATACGTCGTGCAACATCATTATAATGCTTTTCCCGAATAGCATCCATCCTTTTACACGAAGCTCCAACAAGATTCACAATTCTAACAAGATAACCAAAAAAATTCCCCAGATCCCTATTCTCAATTGAAGTTGCTACAACCACTAATTGAAGTTGGTGAGCAAAACAATGAACATAGTATGCTTGTTTATTTTCTTTTAGAATGAGAGCTTTAAGACCATTAAACTCACCACGCATGTTGAAAGCCCCGTCATAACCTTGATCTTTAAGTCTAGAAAGTGATAATCCATGTCTGGCAAAGAATTCATCAATTGCACTTTTCAAAGAGCATGCCGAAGTGTCACTAACGTGCACGACTCCCATAAATCGCTCGATCACTTCTCCCCGATCGTTCACAAATCTCAGAACCACAGCCATTTGTTCCTTTATTGAAGCATCTCGAGCTTCATCAATCAAAAGAGAAAAAGACTTATCTCCAAGTTCATTGATAATGACTTCCCGTACCTCTGTGGCACAAGCGTTGATAATTTCCTTCTGAATTTTTGAAGAAGTCATCTGGTTATTCCTGGGAGCGTTTGAGTTAATGACCTTGCTCACTTCTTCATTAAGATCGCCAAACACCTTCAAAAGTCGAAGAAAATGACCTCGTCGTATTGAATCTTGTGACTCGTCGTGTCCACGAAATGGCAAACCTTCCCCTAAAAGATACCGAATAGCCTTCACGACCGCCGTTAGCCGAATACGATAATCGATCTCCATTTGAGTGCTCTTTTGTGATAACACATAATCCACATTGTGTCTTTGATCTAAATGCCGAACTTTGAATTGTAGCATAATGATGTGCGCTTTTTAAACCCCCTTCATGCTCCTTGAATTTTTTTAAAGCATTCTTCTAGTTTGAAAATCCAACATCGGTAAAAGCATCATCTCCACCGTGTGTATTACCTCGTTTAAATAGATAGCAAAGTAGACAAAAAGCAGCATCTTTCTGAATACTATATTCAAGCCAATTATATTGAACAAACCACGTCTTTTGAAATGATCTCATATTTGCACCAAAACTAGTTTTCGGAAAATTATGTTCAAGTGGTTGACATAGGCCTTTTGCTAAGTAGCGTCTCCTCAATTCATCTCTAATCTCAAAAGGATAACTATCAATAGGCTTTCTTAATCCTGGATCACCAACAATATCATCCTCCCTCAATTCTACTTCTACTCGATGTTTTTTACCACTATCTCTATCATTCAAATTTGGACTATTTGATGAAGATGATAAATCCGGATTCTTCCATTTAGATTGAAACTTATCCATGGTGATCGCCTGATCAGTAAATAAAAGTACCTAATAACAATAATCAAACAATAAATTCAATATTTCTAACAAATAAAGTTACAATTTTAAGATAAATATGTAAGATAAAATATGCCATTACCAAATTTTTAACAAATAAAGTTACAATTTTACTAATTAAATAATAATTTACAATTTTTACAAATTCTAACAATCATGTTCATAAATTAATTATCAAAAAATCAAATAAAATTTTACAATAATCAAGTAGCCTGTAGCCAACAAATTAATGTTATAAAAAATAATCAAATAAAAAATACAAACATATCAATTATTATTATTTAAACTCACTAAATTTCTAACAATTGACAAATAAAGTTATAATTACACTAATTAAACTAACATTTTACAATTTTACAAACTCTAACTTAAAATATAACAATTAACAAGTCAATTAACATTTTTATAAATAAATTTAAAAGATTAGTTGAAATTTGTAAAACTACACTTTTAAAATAATGGAGAAAAAAAAAACACAAATACCGGAGATGTTGGAGTCGCCGGCGCCGGAGTTGAAAGCCAGAACGGCGAGGGCGGCGGCCGACCGGCCGGGAGACAGGTGGGCAGCGCCGCAGCGGCAAGAGGAGGGCTGGAGGGGGAAGGGGTTAGATTTGTGTTAATTTTTTGATATAATTAGGTAAGATTTGTGTTAATTTTTTGAATAGAATCAGATAAAATCCCGTCTGGCCGTCTCCCCCATTAATTGGGCTTCCCCCATGGGCCTAATGTGTTAATATTTTTTAACAGAATTAATGGGCTGTAAATGGGCTTAAATGTATTAAAAAAAAACAGACGGGGAGAGCTTCTTCTCCATCCCTGACTCCCTCTCCCTATGCGCAGATTTCATGGAAGGGCGCCGCCTCCGGCCGGCGACCTCGGCCCCTATACCTATTAAAAAAAAAAATTATGGGATGGCCGAGGCCACTCCTTGCCATAGCGTGGTTTCGCCCCTGCTTGGTCGGCAGGTGGAGACGTACCCATGGCATGAATCGCCCGACGTTTACCCCTATCGATCACGAATGTTGATGTCACACCTCAATTTTACCACCACATACGTCAACATTAAAGGACCCATCAACAATGAGTAGACTGGCAATATAGGTGGCAGCCCTCGCAACTCCAAGAATATTCAACGAACCATCTTCTGTTGCACTCCCGAACATAGAACTATTGTCAGGTGACCACCGAAAACAAAGAAAAACATCGTTATGACCTTGAAATTTATGGGGGAGTGACCCAACTCCATCAGAGTTAGATTGCGCATATCAAACAAGTGCATAGTATGATTTGCAGACCTAGTTAATATATAATCTTCATCATGGGGGTTTCAATTTACACAATGAAGATCAACATTGTGCGTCGTCACAACCTTGATAACTAGATTGTTTTCTACTCGTGCATCCCACATAATCAAACAAGAATCATCCCCAACACTACAAAACTGCCATGAACTTGATGGGCAAATTGCACAGCATCAAAAGTATCATAATTGTGTTGAAAAACCCCACACGAACCAACATTAGAATTATCAAAAGGTTTCACTATAGAACCAGTAGGTTCAAAAGTGTGAGTCGCATCTAAAGCCATATAGTGTTGGAATCTATAAGGATCGGCGTTAATATGCATGTTACGAATTTAACTATGAAATTACCTATGTGCAGCAGATCTATAGGTAAAAGTAGAAGACTTACGATTTAATAATTTGTCGACTTTAAGACGCTGTAGATTTCCTTTGGAGGAGATCCTATGATCACAAAGTCTGTTGGGCAGCTAGACGGGCCTTTTCGGTTGGTCGCGGATCACATGGGCGGCTCGGGAACGTGATCGGGCCACCGGAGGCTAGTCGGGGCTGGCGTCGTGCGTCTCGGGTTGCTGGCGTTGAGCGGGTCACGAGGAAGTTGCCGGTGTCGGCTTCGCAGGGCTGCAGCGGGTCATCTCCGTGCACGAAGAATTCGCAGGTCACTTCAGGCCTCGTCACTGGGAACGAAGCTGCGAACAAGCATGCGTTGGGCCTGTGCACGTGATTCGTCAAGTGTCTGCTGCTTACAAATAGGTCACGTGGGGCGTCGCCAGGGATGTCGCGCGGTGGGGCTCAGCGTCGCACGGTGGTGATTGAGAGGGGCCGAGGTGGTCGGGTGCCTGAGATTTCTCGGGCGCTTGATTTCCTTAACTCTTCTATTGGATCTCCTAACACCTCTAGAACTCCCTTGGTGGGAAGAAGAAACTAGATCTCTCTTGTGTACTAGGAATAATTATGATGAGTTATATCTTACAAACACAAGAGAGGTGATGTATATATAGGCTCCAATAGGAACCCTAATGAGGCATTAAGTTGGGCTTCTCCTATTAGGATTAGACTGTAGGCCAAACATACTAATCTTAATGGGAATAATACACTCATTCCATTAAAGTAGTATTATTGAAATACTCCCAATTTAATTCTCAAATTACAATTTGAGCTCCAATTCCAATATACTCGAATTACCTCCCCATGTTTAAGATATAATATCCTTCAATTTATTTAATTACTGATAATTAAATTAATCAACTTCTATAACCGAAGTTAGCACCATTCATCATTATTATCATGTCGAAAGTTATTCCACCTGCAGGGTTTAACATGAAAAATTCTTTTGAACTCACTTCTATTTTGCACTCCTCCAGGAAATGGCTCCACCTCCCGGTGTAAACACATAACTTGAGGTAGATTTACTTTCGTCCCAGTCTGACTGAAAGTCGAAATCAGTGTAACCCAGTGGTAGCAAGTTATATACACGAGATACGACTTAGTGTACTGTATATAAGGATCGGCACTAATATGCACGTTACGAATTAAACTACGAAATTACCTATGCGCAACCACTTAAGTAGAAGACTTACAGTTTAATATTTTACCGACTCCGAGACGCTGTAGATTTCCTTTGGAGAAGATCGTCTGATCACAAAGTTTGTTGGGCAACCAAACGGGCCTTCTCGATTGGTAGCGAATCACGTGGGTACGTCTCGGGAACGCGATCGGGTCACTAGAGGCTGGTCGGGGCCAACATCGTGTGTCATGGGTTGTTGGCGTCGAGTGGGTCGTGAGGAAGTCGCGGGTACTGGCGTTGCAGAGCTGCAGCAGTTTGTCTCCAGGCACGAGGAATTCGCGGGTCACGTCGGTCTCATCGCCGGGAACGGAGTTGCGATCAGGTGTGCATCGAGCCTGTGCGCGTGATTCGTCGGGCATCTGCTACTCGCGATTAGGTCACATAGGGCGTCGCCGGGGATGTTGCGCGGTGGGGTTTGGCGTCACACAGTGGTGATCGAGAGAGGCCGACAGTGGTCGGGTGCTTGACTACCATTGCTTTTCTATCGAATTTCCTAACACCTCCAGAACTCCCTTTGTGGGTAGGAGAAATTAGATTTCTTTACATCTTCCAAACACAAAAGATGTTATATATATATATATATATATATATATATACATATATATATATATATATATGGGGCATTAAATTGGGCTTCTCCTATTAGGATTAGATTGTAGGCCGAGCCTACTAATCCTAGTGAGAATAATACAGTCATTTCACTAAAGTAGTATTATTGAAAAACTTTCAATTTAATTCTCAAATTACGATTTGAGCTCCAACTCTAATATACTTGAATTGCCTCCCCATGTTTAAAATATAATGTCCGTCAATTTATTTCATTACTGATAATTAAATTAATTGACTTTTATAACCGAAGATAGCACCGTTTAATCATTATTATCACGTCGATAATTAATCCACCTGCATGTTTTAACATGACAATCTTTCTAAACTCACTTCGGGGACATCATCAAACCTCAACTATGTGAAGTACATGGTGACCGTAAATATTATAACAGAACTCCAGGTCCTCCAAAGGGACTCTGATGGCAAAGATTTCGAAAAATCGGGTGAATGTGGCTTCGTCTATGGACACGATGTTCTCATTCGAATGGAATTTTGGCAACTCGAGGCGAGTAGGGGCATGGAATTTTCGGAGGGAAGGGCCATACTTGGTGGTTGAGAATAATAAAGGGGCAAATGTATTTGCGACCTCGAAGCAGGGATGTCCATGTCCGACCTCGAAAAACCATGCAAATGTCCGAACAATGCAACTTATAACATTCATAACCATCCAATACAAAAATGGTCACCTTATTCTAGCTCACATAAAACTAAAATTTAGTCAAAGTAATTTGTTTTAAGGAAGGAGCCAGAGGAACTATAAAAATAAAATAGAAAAAGATTTGCCTCGGGATCTAGAAGGTTTCCAACGAGGTCAATGACATTCATCTCCGCCTCTATTCTGCTACGCTTCTCCATAAGTTTCATCGTCTCTGCTTTTAAATTCGTCGTCACCATCTCATGAGTTTTTGATCAAAATCTGCAAAAATCTGCAAATTGACAACTACTGCTGCGTGAAATCCAACTCTAGGGTTTAGAGATTTTTTTTTTAATATTGCAGGACAGGATACAAATCGCGCAGCTTACACTGCAGTGAATCGAAAAGTAGTGTTTTGTTCATGCCATAAATTGGGGAATTTCTGGGGAAGAAGAGTGAGATTTTGTTCGGTTTTTCTACGTCAACGAGAAAATACAATATCAGACATACATTTTTTTCCACGTAAGAGCCTCTACTGGACACATTGGCAAAACTATCGTAGTCAATGGGATTTGGGTTAGGGTTGTAAAAATTAGACAACGTTGCGCTTTGTTTGCTTACATTAAAAAATTTGGTTAAAATTACCAAAAAAATGTAAGATTGTGACACTAACAGTAATTAGACCTAAAAAGGAGAGGAAAAGAAAAGGAAGAAAAAATATTCGAAGCGTCTAGGCGAAATTGACTTAACCCAGATAGACAGGCCCATCGTATTTATGCTTGAGTTGTGCCTACCGTTCTCAAGTGGAAACGGAAAAGCAGCCGCTGATATTGAGAGAGCCTTTCATTATCATCCCCCAGCCAAATGCTGCTGTTTACATTCCCTCCACAAACTCCACTCCCCAGTGCCCACCCTAATTACAATTCTACCCTTATCTTTCCCCATATTCACACTAAACACCACCCTCACCCTCCCTGCACCTGCCGCGCCACAGCCAGCACCTCCGTTCCGCGCCCGGTCTTGATCGCCGCCACCGCCTCCACCTCTCTCCGACAAGTCAGCTCTACCTCCGACGATGAGGATTCCATGGTGTCGTCGGCGTCCGCTGTGGCGGCGGTAATACGCGCCGCCTCCACTTCTCCTGTGGAGTTTGTGCAGAGGATAGAACGAAGCGGCAGCGGCGGCGGCGCCAAGAACAAAGCTCTGGTGTTGCCGAGTCAGGATTTTCAGCGGCTTTGCCTCGAGCAGCTCCATCTCTTTCGACGTATCGTTGACCCCGATGCCATTCTCTCGGTATATCTTGATTTTTTATCAATTCGTTTTGCTTTGAGGCCATCTTGTTGCTCCCCCGCTATTCGAACTATTTTTCATCTCGCGATTTGCGAAATGAAGTGTAAAATTTGTTCATCGCGTAGTTCCTTATTTAATAAGAACCCTCTGTAACATTGATTAAGAACGAGCGGCTTTACTGTTGCACTTGGGAAGAGCGTATACTAACTGTTCACATTAAGCTATGTAAAATCTGTTTATGAGGTGTTGTTTTCAACTTTTTAGGATACAGGTTATTTCATGTAAAGTGAGTTTTCTATCAACTGAATCCCCTATTTTTTCAAAAGCGATGCTATATTATAAAGGGTGCTCAGCTTTCAGTGTGTCTCTTGAAGGTCTGTTTTTGCTTTCCACCAGTTCTACACTGGGTTGATTTTTGTTGGACTAGTGATATATTATTTATAATTGACTGTTGTGAATATGAAAACTAATTTGAGATCATTTTTTTTCCTATTTAAATTTGTGAAGCTTGTTTACTTTCTATTTTAAAAGAATGCATTGTATTTTTCACTTGGTAATTCATGTCCAGCTTTGTAAAATTTAATAATCAGTGAACGGAATTCAAACTCGTGTTTATTATCAGTTGGAGGCAGCTAGTTGCCGTGTTGTATGGCATAGACAAAATCGCATTTCAATCTCGGAAACTCTTCCCAACTTAATTTGTTCACTTTATCATAAAGCAAGGGGTTGGGTTCTTTTATTTTATGCATCAGCCTGCTGTTAAGATCACCTTTTCCTGGACTTTGGGACAGTTATGAGAGTTCCCTCACTTTTTAAACTAGAAGATTCAGACCAGTACTTTCTTGTGCATGCTAGCAGGCATATACCTTTCGTAAGTAACTTAATGACATTCTAATACTTTACGCGGCAGTATGTGGTAGTTATGATGGATTAATGTTAACCACAGGTCTATGTGAGACCAGCTGGTAGTTATGTTATGGATCGTTTGGAGTTACGCTGCATTACTTCTCATCCAGGCGGCCAAGCTGCTGATATTGTTGTTTTAATTGGTAATTTTAGTATGCCAGCTGGATTAAGAGTTGCAGAAGCTTCTATCTCACGGCAACAGGCATGATTTGTTTTTATTAATGTTTCTACAAGACAGTTGAAGTTTGACATTTAATATTTACGTTTATTCACTCTAATTGTTGGTTAATATAGGTATCTAATAGACATTCTCTTCTCTAGGCAGAATTTTTCCCTGAGCTTGGTGCTGTAGTTTTACCCATGGTTACACATCCATTTATTGTGGGCTTCTTGGTTGCTGAGTTTCCAAAGGCGGTAGATAGAGATTGGCATGGCATGAAAGATTCTTCAGTCTCTGGGAAATCTCTGCCATTGCCCCATAGCATGGACCCACAATCATTGGATGTGCAAACTTACAAGGATTATTCGGTTAACATGCCGAAGTTTTCTGCAGAACAGAAACTGAATGCCATAAATATCACTCATTCACTAGCCCTGGCTTATGTCATGGATCAGGTATGTTTTGATTCATGATTGCGTGTACATATATACATACAAATATATATATACATACAAATATATATATGTGTATATATATATATGTATGTATATGTAAGGCAAATCTCAAAATATCTAGTTATTTTTACCGGATTCAATCCACAGGGACCAATTCCTGAGTTGTCTTCTTGACAGGCTAGCCAGACTTAATTTGCCCACAAACTCAATTCAAACACGAGAAGAAAATCTTCCTAAATACTCTAATTCAGGTTTAATTTGATTGAAAACTAAAAAAGTAAGAATATACGACAAATGAACTAAAATCATATTTCACTAACTAAACGGAAAGAGATTGACAGAGAAACTAGGGAATCAGAGATAATGTCGTCTAACTCTCAATGCACATTTCAGACTAGTTGTTGTTCAACTAAAAGGTTAACACACCTAAAAGCTGCACTCTCGGTAACTATTCTTACCACTGGAATGAACATAAGCGAACAACTCACAAAACATAGATGATACAGTCATGGATTCGTATATCCTATTTGAGGTATGATCGAATAGTATATCTCCTTCCGGTATCAAGGTTATTTATTTAGAGGCTGATCAGACGTCTAATAATAAGATTCAAACAACACAAATAGATAGAACATTCACCATAATAATAAATTACATGTATAAACTCATGAAGATGAAATTGCTTCAAAAAGATTTCTAAATTTTCAGTCATTAGTCAATTCAATGAAGAAAAACTAGAAGAATTAGGAGTGTCACCTTCAAAAACAGAGAAAAATCCGAAATCTAAAGTGAAAATTGTGTTCGAAAGATGCCCTAACATATCATATACAATTTCCATTTATATGGGTACAAAAGTTAGATGAAAGTTCGTCCAGGTGCGTTCAGGTAACGTTTGGCCGTCATGCATCTGGGTGTGATCGGTCCGTTGTGGTGTGACGATTGTCACAGTGTCCCAGCGAGCGAGCACTGGTTGTGCTCGAGGACACGGCTGAGTTGGTCTTGTCCGTGCGAGGGCGCACAGTCATTGAGCCTGTCGTGCCATGTTGCATGCCATAACGAGTTCTAGTCGGCTAGGTGCTGCCTGTGCTCGGAGTAAAGGGTCAATGTAAAGAACTAAATATTATTATGAAGATTAATTAAAGAAAAAACACTTGGTTTTCCAAGAATGTGAGGTTTTCCTAGGGGATAATCTCCCGCCCAAGCTAAAAGTCGATAAACAATATTATTTCTTTTGATGCTTAATTTTCACTTCACTCGCTCTGTTTTATAAGATTATTATTTACATAAGATACGATAATAAGATAGTAACAAAAAGTAAGATAATGATTGTTAGCCTTCGGCCAAAGGCTTGGATCTTAGTATTAATTCTACGATTGGGGATTCTTATTTTGCATCACTGATTTTATTCTTTCTAGCTTTCCCTTTCCTTGAGTATATGAATTTTTTCGATCTCTGCCTTGTCTCGAAGGCTGGAAAGATTTTTTATTTATTTTTTAACAAAATTCTGAGCATTCGACAAAAATACACAACCCTTGTAAAGAAAAAACACCTTTGATTATTGCATAGTGGTATCGTAAAGACCTCAGACCGACTGGAAACGGTTGGAAACGGCTGGAAATGACTAGATCCCAAGCTCAAACGTCGGTTGAATGCCTCGAACCTGTAGAACTCTCACACCGGAGGGGGTTTCCGGTGAAGAGCCTGCAAAGCTTAAGTTAGCCCTTGAAGAAGACGAAGTGAGTATATGAGTGTATAGTATTGAATGTAATGCTAGAATTGCACATCCCACTTTTATTTATAGGAGTAGGTTACCTGCTTCTAGAAGGCTGCTGATGAGCTGGCTGTCCCAGCGGCCCGTACTACCCCAGACGGTTATAAGGATAGGCCAATCCAATAATGGCGCGTGTCCTAGCCCATGTGCACCATTAATTACAATAAGATTCCTTTTTATCTTTGACCTTCTTCATTAGGCGCTCGACCTTGATTACCTCGAGGTAGAGTATCGTGAATATCGAGCTTCGCCGTTACACCCATCTGGTCGATCATTTGACCAGGTGTTTGGTCAAGCTTCCCCCAGGCCCTCCATGGGCTCCCACTCGACCTGTTGGTATCCTTTACGTCACCCATGTCCTCTTCTACCTTATCCTTTTAGCTATGGAGTCTTTGTTCTCCGTTTGACCTGATGGCTGAGCCGGTTCAGTTCGGTTGGATCGTTGCGTAGACTGGAATCGTGACTTTTTCGCCTGCCGTGCTTTGGAGAAGACAAGGCATTTGCCATGGATTTTTCAGCCTTGATTGTTAGATAATTGCGAGGGTACGATTTGACAACAAGGAAATCTTGACAAAAAAAAATCAAACAGGAGTGGGCACCACCTTGGCAAACTGAAATCTGCATAGTGGAACAAAAGAAGTCGCGGAAATTGATATGAATCCACTCTTAAATTTTAAAATTTTGGTATGTTGATCCACGGGAATTGAGGATGTGGAATTGGAATGCTTAACATGAACATGATCTACCTAGTTGGCTTGAATGTTGTGCTTGGTCTATAAGTTTGGTGGTGACCTTGATATTAGTGAGTCGTGCAAAAGCACTTTTTAAGCCTTCTCCAGGGAGGGAACTCAGGATTTTGAATCCATGCTTATCATCTGTCCAGCAGATTGGACCAATTGTTAGTAGTAAAGGGTCAATGTAAAGACCTAAATATTAATGCAAAAAAAGAAATAACAGAGGATGGGGTTCACCTCGGAATAATCTCCCACCTAATGCTTATAAACAATATTAGTTCTCGTGGGGCTCATTTACATGCTAGGATGGGATAAGATCATTTAATCCCTTGAGACTGTTCACATCTTGTTTATCCTCTGCTCTTTTGGATAGGAGACAAAAAGACTATTCTGCCCTAGTTGTACCCCTACAATATTGAAATCACTTTATAATCAAAGAGATTTTTCGATTGGAGATAAAGATTGCGCGCTTGACGAGTGCATACAAGTCGATTCTAATGTGTGCCATCAATTTTCGTCAAAAAATTCAAGACGATCGTGTCGAGGTCGCCACGCAAAGCCTGAAGAAGAAAGGGATGCACACAACGCCATGGCGAAAATCGAAATACATGTGGTCCAAGTGGCTCAACCCACACATGCGCGGTGGAACCGAGATTGAGCTGTCGCCTGGTAAAACGCCGTCAGTGGGCCTTGCTGAGGTCACGGGAGCGAGCGCAAGAAGTTAGATCTGATTTTTGAGAAGGAGATGGCGATGACTTCATTGCCAGACTCCGATATGTTGGGAAACGTGAATCGTCGACAAGGGTTGCCGGAGAGACTGAGGCGACGACAACTTGGTAGGTGCGGAGGTGAGGGCGAAGAGTTTGGAGAGGGGGAAATGGGAATAAGATGGCGGTCACTGACATTTGCAATGTTTTTTTCAAGGGTTGCTATGTAATTTAAGTCAATTAATTTAGTGGGGATAAAAAAGTTCTACCTATGAGGACCAAAATATCTTAGCGGGCCAGGTTGGCTACGGGTTAACATGCGGGCCAAAATCATGGTAAAGGAACAAGTGTTATCCAGTTGAACTTATCTAGTCATATACGTTGTTGAACTTATCAAGACATACATGAAGTAAATGAGCCTTTGATGCCTAATTTCCACTTCCCTCACTCCCTCTTATTAGATTATTATTTTCATATAAGGTAATAACATATTAAAAAAGGTAAGAGAACGATTTGTAAGCCTTTATGCCAGGATCCAAAGGAAGACAAGGATCCCAGGAGTGTCCAATATAAAGCAAACTACTAAAGGCAGATTCAACAAAGTAACATGAAATCCCTCTCTATTTATCAATGTAAAGTTTTCGAGTCTTTGTGTCAACTTTGGTTGCATCGTATTTCTATGTGCGGAATTCTGGTTCATCGTGATTCTATGCATAGAATTTTGGTGCTTTATAATCTGGAATTTTGGTGCTTCAGAGTATTTTGTGTAAATTTGGGTTTTTATCCATGCGTACTTGTACTCTAAAAAGTATAAAACACTCGACTTATATTATAAATATATTTTACACCTTAATAACTTTTGTATTTGGAATTAGTTTTTCATATATGATATGTCAAATCAATTATCTCTTGACGAGCTTCGATTTGATATCCATATTGTATAAATAAAATAAATAATTATATTTGTTTTATAATAAAACTAAGTTATCTTTTAATATTAATGGAGAAATAATTAAATTATTTATCAATTAAAAAAATTTGATCTATAAAGTTATATAAAGTTATTATATGATATGAGTAAATTATTATAATGTACTACAGGTAAGTCGTGTAAATTGCGGAATGTCGTTTTAAATGAAGATAATAATGTAAATTTCTAAAAAGTATTTTAAATTTTAAACAGGACTTCTCTCTCTCTCTCTCTCTCTCTCTCTCTCTCTCTTTTAATTTTAGTTAAAATAACGTTGTCCAATTGTAGGGGTAGATAATTACATATACGTTACACAAAGGTAAACACAAAGACACATGAAGGAATTACATAAAATGAAAAGAAAGAGAAAGGGAAAATAAAAAGTACAATCTACAATGATAAAATCATTGTGGGTCCTTAGGCGGTGGTGGTGGGAAGTGCGTGTTTGATTTTGACATAATGTTTGTCCCATGTGTACCAAAGATGTATACGATCTTTTTAGTATAAATAGGTCATTGCCATTGGGTTACTATTATTTTTTATTTTTTCTCTCATATTTTAGAAGAAAATCCTTATTTAAGGAAATCCTAATTTGTGGGTTATGTAACCCTGGATGTATTTTGTTGGTGAGTGAAGTTGGTGTGGCGGTTGGCGGTGCCCGTAGACGTAGGCAACATTCGCCGAACCCGTTGTCAATTTGGTGTGTCTTTCCTTTCTCGTCATTCATTTCCTGCATTTATTCTTGTTGACTTATTTTCGTTTGTAGTAGTGCTTGCTATTATTTGTTGGGGGGGTATTTTTGTCCGCAGCACTTGTTGTGTTACACCAACGAGTCTCTAGTTGGGCGTCCTAGTGGTTGAAACAAGCGTCATTACGATCCTGTAGGGTGAACAGAGACTGAAGGTTCATGTCAAATGAGGGGAAGGAGGTGTCGAACTGCCCGAAGCTCTGATCAAAGGAATCGAACAGGGACTCACGGTGGGACCACCTGGCGTTCTTCTTCTTGACTTTTCAATTGTTAATTATTCTGGTCTCAACGTGCTTCTTGTTGATTCTAATCGGACTCCCATGTATTCCAACGGGTGTCGTCCTGGCCATCCTGGTATCATATTGGGCCCACCATTCGTCCTGTTGCTCCCAGCATCGGTCATGGGCATTGACCCTAGATAAACACGTCGGTCTAGGAAAGACAAATGCTCGAAGGCTAACTAAGAGCTTTGCAATTTGAACCTTTTTGCCTTCAAATAAAGGACAAAAAACATGGATATGATAAAAAATATGAGACCTCAAATAAAACAAAATACACAAGAGATACCAAGTAGTGTAGGGATGATGAGAAGGGGTAGCTTAGTTGGTCGAACTCTTCACTTGAGACTAATAGGTCTCGAGTTCGAGTGATACAGGGGTAAGTGGAAACCACTATTNATAGTACTAGAAACATACTTAAAAGTAAAAGACTAAAAACCAAATAATTACAAAAAATAATAACAAAGGCGTTATATACATATTACACACACATCATGACAGTTATATATATATATATATATATATATATAGTTGGTGCAGTAATAGGCACCTCTAAGTGCAAGGTGCCTTAGTTTCACTTCTTTCTTTTGGTTTCTTTGTGGTGGTTATTTGATTATAGGCCTTGTTGCTCTTGAATTCTATGGAAATAACTCTCCTTCAAACCTCTCCAGAAAACAATGTTGCTGCAGCAATCGTCATGGCAGAACAATGTCAGGATGAGTAATTTGGTTGAGCAAGTAAGCTGTGGTACTTAATCATTTCATTTTTCATATGATTTTAAAATATTATGATGATATTTTTCTATAATTAATTTGCAGATCCAAGGTTCTCTCTCAAGCATCAGAACTTTGACCAACATGTTATCTGTTCTCTTGAAGAGAAGTGAGGTGGGTGTGCCCGCAGTCTCGTAAGGTTTCACTAAACTTACCTTGGACACTTTGTTGAATACATTTCTGATTGCTAATGACATCATGACCATGAATCTTCTTTCAGGTTTCGTATGATATTGCTCAAGACATTGAAGTGCAAGGTGAGCACATGAGAGATACTCTTCAGCAGCTACAGGATGCTGTCTACCTGACAAAGGTGTTCTTTCTGCTTCCTTCCAAGAATGAAAGTGTTTGAATAGATCTATGACTCATCCTGTCAATGATCGGGTACTTCATTTTTACTGCAATCACGGGCGCTGTGAAATTTCAGATGATTCAGTAGCATTACTATTTTTCTTGACTAAAATCAAACAAATTGAGGAAATATTTCAAAAAATATGTAAATGAGTGTGTGGTATATTTCTTTATAAAAATTGTAGTTAATGGTTTGAAGAAAGATTGTTATGAGCTGGTGGGCAAAGATCAGCATTTACTTGTATCTATTGGTTCATTAAACATTAATTTTATAACCTTTCCATTTAACTTAAATATAACTCCAGTCACTCATTTTTCTCTTGAGTAACTGCTTTCCTTCTTAGGCTAATATAGTGCGCTATAACAATGAAACACTGAGGAAGATGCAGCAGTCGTATGATGAACAACCAGAAGTTACGTCCCCAATATCCAGTAACACATCAATGGAAACTTTTATCAGTAAGATGCAAGATACTGGCAACCAATTGTCTCTCAGTTCAAGATCCAATAATGATTCAGAATTTCCCATGCCACCTCTTGCTCTTGCACCTTCACATCAACAGCAAATCAGGTACTGTGGTATAGGACAATGTGATTGGTGTTTATTATGCTACATTGTTGCTTTCTATTGCATTAAGTTCTCCTACCTTGCCTTGGCGTGTAATTAAAGGGTACCGAGTATTTCTTGAACTTAATATGGTTTAACAAACTGATTTCGTGTCATCAGGAAAGCCCGCTGAATTGAAATCTACAAATACATTTTGTATATTTTCATTTTCATTTTCATTTTCTGGTAGTTTTGGAATCCATCCAAGTTCATGGAAGGAAAAATCTGTTGGGAATGAAATAAAGAAGCTCAATGCTGTATGTTATACGACAAACCAAGACTCGAGCATTTCTATAGAAAGATGTAATTTCATCTAACACCCCTCTTTGTGACATTAAGAATTTGAATTTCAGGCAGTTGCAGTGAACACTTAATTCAAAGAGAATCATAAGAAATACTAAGAGATAGAGGAAACGTTTGTCAACTGATTGGATACAAAAATTTTCAAGAAATTCCAAACATTTTTAACTCAACCATTTTTTTTTGTAACTCAACTTTAACTCAACCCCACTATCATCAATATTATCAATATAATTAAATAATATCAATCAATCATTCTTACACACCACATCAACTTTAATTCATTATTCATCCACTAACGTAATTTTAACTAACCATCACTTCAAATCATCTCTCCACTTTTACATCAAATCAACTTTAATTATTTTATTTTAAATATTATTTTAGTATACCCACTAACAACTAACAATACCACCTTTTTCAAAATTAAACAAACCAAACCAAAAAATCCAAACAAAACAAAAATGTTTATATCCAAGCGTTGTCTGCATTACAATTTGAAGCAGTCCGAAATCAAAGAGATGCCTTGATATCTAAAAACTCAACCTGAATACCTGAGGGATTTCTTTATGACTTTCTGTATCTTATTGAAGTTACATGACCTTTTATGTTGAAGCTACATGTAATTTTATTTTTATAGTGCTTTGCGGTAAGTTTTTCATATGAACCATCATTCTGCAGAAGACCTTGTGAAGTTTCTGAATTGCTGCAAGATTTAGTTGGGGCCATTAAACCTCTTGCATGCAAGCAAAGACGGATTGTGGAACTGTGCAATCTTTCAATGTCTTTGAAGGTTGCTGTGGAAGAGTCTGCTTTACGGCAAGCTCTAAGCAACTTAATTGAGGGCGCTTTATTGCGAACGGAGGTTGGAGGAAGAATTGAAATCATCTCTACTCGAGCTCCTGCAGGCGGTGCTCTCATCATCATTGATGACGATGGGCCTGATATGCACTATATGGTAATTTCTTTATCTTGCCAGCTAGCTTCAGACCCACTTCCAATATGCGTTATAGTAGCAAATGTCCCCTTTGTGCCTGGAGTTTCAATCGAAGTGATTGAAGCATTTTTTGATTGATCTGAAATTTGGACTTATGCATGGGTAGTTAGGCAATTGAAAATGATTAATATTCTAGTTTATTATCTCTCGAGTGGAAGTGCGAAATCTGTTAATGCCAAAGTCCAGTATAAATCAGAGATCTGCATCCACATGTANCTGGTTTTTTGTGTTAACTAGAGTTTATTTGAAAATGGTCAGGTGTTAGTGGGATTTTAAATGTATTAAACTAATACAACAACAACAACAACATACCCAGTATATTCCTAACAGGTTGGGGTCTGGGGGGTCAATTGTACGCAGACCTTACCCTTGTAATTATACAAGGAGGCTGTTTCCGTAGCGACCCAAGGTGCATTGCGCCGTTTGATATATATATTTTTTTTCTAGAAACTTCACTAATAGAAGAAGCACTAGAATTTAATTGAGCCATTTTAGCACTATGCCAGGAGAATTGTCAACAATGACTCTTCCAGCACCATTTGCAATGGACAGAATGTATTAAACTAATATTTAAAATAAAATAACTAAAATTAGATGTAAAAGTAGAAGATAAATGATTGAAAATGATAGGTAGTTAAAATTATATGAGTGGATGGATAGTGAGTTAAAGTTGATGTGATGTGTAAGAATGTTTGAATGATATTATTTAATTATATTTATAATATTGAGGATAGTGGAGTTGAGTTAAATTAGAGTTAGATTTTGAATTGAGATAAATAAAAAAAAAAGAAAAAGAAAAAAAAGTTCTAGTTTTTTTTTTAGATATTTGATAAACAAGCACGGGCTTACAATTTTGGATCTCCCAGAAAGATAGGCATGTTATCTTGGATAGAGTAGTTATAATGTTTAAAATTCATTATTTCCCTGATTAAATTTGTAGGACCCGGCCTTGATTCTTCTTTAAACATGTTATCTTCCAATCACTTAATTAGTCGGTTCCACACGACCAGGGAGCTTCAAAGGAGAAATTATATTCTGTGCAACTCGACCAACCCATGTTAGCTTTAGTTGATTCTACAATTTGCTAATTACCATCTTAATATGCCTGCTTAAGAGTGTCTTCTATTGTGCGTTATGTAAATTTGAAATGTATAACTCTTATTTCTTCACATTAAGTGCTCTGATTTTTGGATAACTGATCATCTGGAAGTGTTTTCTTTACTTCATCTTGCCACATGGAAAAAACTAGAACGCATGTACTTGGTCATATTTAGGAAAGCTGCATTTACTCGTGCCATGTGAATTTTTGTGCTGTGGATTGCTTGCAGACGCAAATGCATTCACTCGTGCCATTTGGGGCTGATCTATGTGCAGAAGATCATATAGAGGACAATATGGCGTGGAACTTTGTTGCAGGGTTGACTGTGGCTCGGGAGATACTCGAGAGTTACGGCTGTGTTGTCCGTGTTATCTCTCCAAGAAACTCTGAAGCGGTCTTGGGAGTAGGTGGGACCCGTCTCGAGATTTGGCTTCCCTCAATGGATGCTGATGACTGTGTTGTTCAGGAGGCGTGAAAAAGCCGCTGAGTAACTCTCTTGAGCACTAATTCTCATTTCTCAATTTTGTTAAATTAAATTATTCTATATTGTAGACATGTAGTTACATCCGTCTGTTGCTTAGATATTTATAGTTAGATTTATATTTAGTAAAGGGAAAACTACACTTATATTTATAGGGTTTTTAGCACTTTACCCACTCAACTTTTTTTTTTTTCGTGACACTTTGTCCATATAACATTCTAAAAAATTGCATTTAACCAATTTCCAGTCATCGTCCGGCAATTTCTAAGCGCAAAGTGTAAATAAAGTGCACAAAAATGTATAGGCGGGTGGGTAGAGTGTAATTTGTTCAATTACAATTAACTGAATGACTGAAAAGTCAATTTTGCCCTTAGAAATTCCCGAGGATGACCAGAAATTGGTGCAATTTTTTGCAAAGTTCTATGGGCAAAAAACCCTATAGTTAGGTGGGTTAAATGTAGTTTTCCCTTTAGTAAATATATAATTATTGCTCATGGTGTGTTCAATTTGTCTTCGAGATTAACTGTGCCAGAGAAAATGCTTCGAGTGTGTAGTTAATAGGCATTGTGAATGTGAAAAAGTAATCTGTTGTATATATGAGCAAACAACTAATTTGTAGGTAGCATCAGCAAGTTCAATTCGTGTTGAATGGTTCATGGGATTGTGAGTCCATGACTGCCTATGGTGAAGAAAATAATAATTCTGAATCCTACTGATGCCAAGGCTTTTCGTGTAGGTTATTCTGCACTATATGTTGCTGCGGAGTTTCAAGGCATAATAGGATTCTGCGAATTAGGATCAGCAGCATATTACTGTCCTTACTGATGAACCAAACTATAGTGTAAGTGATTTGGTTTACTTGGTGCCAATTGGGAGATTGTTCGGTTATTTATCGTGGAATATTTGAAAACCCAACTGTTATGTTTTACGAATCGATATTATTTATTGTGTACATATAGATATAGGTATATTCAATAATGTGTGATGTTGTGTTTGTGGTAATTTATTGGTGAACAAGTAAACTTTGTACTGATTTATTGTGAAATGAATAATGATGCATTATAAATTTCTGTAATTCATTTGATTATTCTCTTTCCAACACTGGCTTCTTGGGATTTTTAATTGAGGAGATGAATAATGAATTCCAGTTTAAATTCCACCACTTTAATAATGTTAATTAATGGGGCACGGCAACTAAATCTCAAATCAAAGTGATGATTTACTATTCTAGCGTTTTAAAATTACTAGTTAAGAATTAAGATACACAATTTATATTTATTTTTTATTTTAAAATATATTTTATTTTTATTTTTATATGGTTTATTATTATATGAATTATTATTTAAGTTAATACATTAGATAATGAATTGTGTCAAATATATCAAATACATTAGATACATGACCGCAAACCAAATTTTATTGCGTCTGGGGTGGAACCACGACTTTCGTTCTCAACCTGATATCCGTCTAGTTGTTCGGGCCTCCAACTACAACAGGGACCGCCGATGAGCTCCCTACGCCCATAGGGTTAGGCATCAGGGCACGGAATGGCTCGGAGAATCCCGAAGGTGGACCTTCTCCGAGCGGACGTGTGGTGGCCGACGCATCGTCAAAGGTATGCTCTAAATTCTTCGTGGGAGCTTCGTTCTTCATGGCCAAGTGTTTTGATGGTTTTATTAACGTAGATCCCACAGACAACGTCGAAATGGTGTTAAAGAGACTCCTGCTTGGCTCACACGACCTGGATCTGTGTTTCGACTTGTTTGTAGACCTGCAAAATGGACAGGGAGGGGTTCCCCGCGTTAGCACTCTGACAATTAAGTCACTCCACAGTGATGAAGACGATTAACAACAGTATAAAGATCTGTAAGCATAGAGTGTATGGAGAATTTAGAGTGTAAATGGAAATACCTCACTCTTTTATATAGGGGTGTTACCTTGTTGTCCAAGATTTTTTGGATGGACAGCCCAAACTGCCTGAGCTGCCCTTTCGTACTGTCCGAACTGCCCAATTCTGTTAGGCCACGTGGCCGTATCCACGTGTGATTCTTATCTTAATAATATTTCTTCTTATCCATTAGTCTATTTTATTAGACGGTCTAATCGTGTGACAAACCCGATACACCTCGAGGTAGAGTGTCTTCTGTGCTAAGCTTGTATGCTATACTCTTCTGGTCAATCCATCGACCAGTCATGCCTTCAAGTCGAGTTTCAACTTGACCATCCGAGGGTAGTAGTTCAATCCGTCAATTCTCCTTTGGATCTGCGACATCCTCATCGACCTATAACTCCTTTGGTCTCTGTTCGACCTAACAGTTCACCCGGTTTAGTGAGCTAGTTTCTCGGGTCAAGTCGGCCCGTTGTGGTATCTCATATCACAATCATTCTTACATATTACATCAACTTTAATTCTTTATTCATCCATTCACATACTTTTAACTAACCATCACTTCAAATCATCTCTCTCCTACTTTTATATCAAATTTACTTTAATTATTTTATATTAAATATTGTTTTAATATAAATTCAAGATACCACTAACAACTAATCATACCATCATTTTCAAAATTAACTAAACAAAACAAAAAAATCCAAAAAATAAAAATCCTATATCCTCTTTGCTACGAATTGACTAGCGAGTCAACAAACTAGTGAGTCAATAGTTGTAACTCACCCGCTCCACTTTATCTCCTCTCTGGATTTACTGTAGCATTTTCCCCAAAATCACAAAAGCCTATTAATATTTTTTGTTTTCCTTAGTTGGGCTCTCCGGCCATCCACGGCGATGGCTGTCACCAGGCAATGTGGCTCGCTTCTTAGAGAGGTGTCGCCTGGGGCTGTTGTATTTCGTCGGCGGAGGTGGGGGGTCGCCCCCGAGTGGATTTTGGTTACCTGGTTGCCATGGCAGGAGGAGGTCCGTTGAATCCCCAGCTGCTTCCATGTGGTGGGCTTCCAGTGCTTCTTTGGAAGAGGGTTGCGGCTCCGATCACCATCTTTCTGGTGGTCGGGGCGAAGGTTAATGCTCTCTTCCCCCCGTGTCTCTCTCTTCCCTGAAGCTGGACTGAGGAGACGACTGACGAGCTCGGGTCATGGGTCGTGTTTTGGGGTATATGCTTGAGTTGTCGGTGGCGTTGGGGTGGTTTGGGGTGTGTACCTTCGGTTGCGGGTCTAGGGTCATCCACCTAGATGTGGGGTTAGGTCGTTAGTTTCAGATCTAGTTAGGCGTTGTTTGGAGTTTTTGGAACGACAACTTAGCTGTGGCTCTGTCTGTGTGGGTGGCCGACCGCGGGTGTTGTCATCATGGGTCGATAGGTAGGGGTTGCCGACTGCGGGAAACACTTTATTCTATTTTTAGTATTCTTAATGGGCTAGTTCTAATTGGTGTCTACATGTATGTATATATTTATATTTATTATATTCTCTGATTTTGAAAAACAAAAAAAAAAAGACTAGAGAGTCAACAAACAAGGAGAACATTACGCATGATAAATCAAATAAGCTTAACCACAATTAGGCCATCATTAAAACCTTATTCGAGTTGAAGTGGACAACATATACGCATGATAAATAAAATCAGCTTAACAATCACAATGAGGCCATCATTAAAACCTTATCACCTCCTAGACTTGATTTCCTTGACTTTGAACGTGATGGTTTGACTTAAATTTCCCAGCATTTTAAATAACATGTGTTGACTTTTCTTTCTTCCTTTTTTTATTTTATTTATGTAGTTCTATTATTTCTTTATCATTTTTCCCCTTTTTCTATTTACTATATCAGCTGATTACGCTGATAAGGTAAAAAATATTATTGGATGAAAAAGTTGGAATAATGATAGACGAAAGTTTGAATAATGAGAAGAGAGTACAAAAAATCTAATGAATTCTGGCTTCAGCCTTAACTTTTCCTTTCTTGAGCTCGTCTCTGTGGTTTTTTTCTTTCATTTCATTTTCTGTTCTCTTCTCTTTTTGTCCCTCATTAGTTAGTTAGTCACACACAAAAATCAATTAATTCGTTTTACATTTTTTTTGTTTACATCCACAACCTTAATAAATTAGTTGGAGATGTTTTCTTAAGTTTCACACATGCATTCGCCTGAAGCATTTACACTCGTTTAAAACCATTTGTTGATAAAAATAAAAATAAAGAAGAAGAATAAGAAAGAAGAAGAAGAAGAACCCCGTGTGATTCAGGTCAGCCTTTTTTTGGCGATATCTTTGTTTTGAGTTTTACCACCATCTTTAATTACATGATGATCTACAATTGTTTTGAGTTTGTGTTGAGTGCTATTCTATATTCTAATATGTTTATGTGTACGATTTGTTCCACCCAAAATGGTGATCTTCAATTCTTTCTTGTTTCTTTAGAAAGCTACGNCTAATTTACAAATGTTTCCCTTTAATTGATATTTCTTTGATTAATTGGGTTGGTTTTAGCTAACTCTTCTTTTTTCCTCAATATGTTTTTCTGAATGCATATTCTGGGAGGCTAATGTTATAACTTATAAGCGGGTAGCTTGTTTAAATTGTCACCCAACATTGTGTGCAGCATTGTGCAATGCTTAAAAATAGTATATTGAGCTAATTGTGGGGGATAGAGACAAGTATGCTTCCTCAGTTGGCTTTTTAATTGTGATTTTTAAGGATGTTTCTCTCAAGGGTGTGCGCGGTTAGAACAAAAAAAATCGATTCTTATGTACATTCAGCGCTCATTTGGTATATTTTACTAAGTTCTTTGGGTAATGAATTTGATATTTCCTTATAATTTCTTAGTTGAACCCCAAATGAATTTCCCTAGTTGTAGAGTTTTTGGACCAGAGAACATAAAACTTTGTACACTTGCTTGTGTTCTGATGAGTGTGTGCTATAAATATAGAATTAGACAGAGTGAAGGAAAAGGAATAACTCAGGTACATGATTATTTGGTTATACAAATTGCAAGTAGACAATGCTTGTTCTATGGCAGAGAACACTGTTTATTCAAAAAATAACTTAAGATCATTTTATTCTCCCAGGACAATGACTAAAAAACCGAACGAGACTATGAGATTGTTTTTCACTGTCATTGCCGGGCTCATGTTTGGATTCATGATGGGAACATCATTTCCAAAGCTCCCACTAACAAAGGTACATAAAATATAGTATTTATTTCACCTACATTATGAATCTGGTTTTATCCATGTATTATGCATCGATTTGGTGATTTTTTTTTTCTTTTTTGGTGTAACTTATTCTACTTTCTCATTTGTCAGCTAAACATCACATCAGCTTTAATTCGGGATTTTAACCCAACAATCGGGAACAATAGTATGGCGAATGCTACCCAAAACAGCAACAAAAATCCCATCCTGAAGGACTTATCAAAGGTTTGTGGTTTCTTTCTAACAAGGAAATCAAAGTTTGGTGCATCATTTAAGCTTTACTTCATATCCCTCCTGTGGTTATGTGTATGATGAGATTTTGTTCAAAAATATAATTTGATTTTCCTCTTCTTATACGTCTTGTTCGATTATCTGGTTTAGATTTGGGTCCCCTCAAATCCGAAAGGTGCAGAAATGTTGCCACCAGACATTGTAGCATCTGAATCGGACTTCTATCTCCGAAGACTATGGGGAAAGCCTACTGAGGTGAGAAATTGGCTTATATTTGCTTCATATTTTCCCCCTTTTTATTAGATTTTAGTAAAAGCAGCCAAAAATTTAACAAATCCTTTAGGGGAAAAAAAAAATTGTTACTAATCAATGAAGAAAAATTTATCTGAAGACTGCAAAATAGGAAAACTCAAGTGATATTATCCTAAAATTTTTAAGTCAGCAATGTGCATACATTTTACTATTTTGAGAATTCTAAATGCATCATCTGGAGGGAAAAAAATGGCTGCTAATTGATATAAATGTTTCTAAAGAATTAGGTAAGGTTCTTCAGAGGGAATTTTGATTTCTGGTTACCTTTGTCATTGCATAGGACTTGACTGTGAAGCCAAAATACTTGGTAACCTTCACAGTTGGTTATGATCAAAGGAATAACATCGACAAAGCTGTGAAAAAGGTCAGTAGAATCTCCAATTGCTTTCCATTAGGCCTCAGTCAAGTCTCTTTTTCAACTAGTTATATTACTGCTGCAGTTCTCGGAGAACTTTACCATCCTTTTGTTTCATTATGATGGAAGAACAACTGAATGGGATCAGTTTACATGGTCCAAACGGGCTATTCATGTTAGCGCGAGCAAACAAACAAAATGGTAACTATATTTTCANACAACATTAGAAATTAGAAATTACGAGATGCACCGTTGAGGTTTGATTCTGTGTTACACTGTGCCCCAGAATATACTGATGGAAATTGATGGTGTCATCGGATATTTTACAATTACACCCCTCAACTTTTCAAAATATTGCAAATAGTATCAACTTCTCACATCGCTGTTTGTAATGTATATCGAAATTGGGAATTGTAAATGCAACATGTCAAAAAATGTTGGACTCCTTTTTAAACATTACCAATTGAGGGATGTTACTGTAAACGTACTTTGATGAGATGCCAGCAAATTCTTTTAGCTCCACAAATGGCTTACACAATAATATGTATCACAGATGTAGCCACCTTTTTGTAATCATCAAAGTGAGCTGTTAACAATTTTCTCCGTTTTTCGTCATCCCTATTTATGAATAATGCTCACATATGAAATTTTGCAAAAGGTGGTACGCGAAAAGATTTCTGCATCCAGATATTGTTGCCCCGTATGACTACATATTCATATGGGACGAAGATCTTGGGGTCGAGCATTTTGATGCGGAAGAGTGAGTAAAAATGATGTAATGTCTTGTAGCTTTTGAAAACAGGCTTGCTCGATGCTAATTTTCCTTTCTCCCAATAAAAAAATGCCAGATACATTAAACTCGTGAAGAAGTATGGATTAGAAATTTCACAGCCTGGTTTGGGAGAGGACAAGGGAACAACTTGGCAGATGACGAAAAGAAGAGGTGGCCAAGATGTTCACAAGTAAATGGATGACTTTATGCATAATTTCCATTTATGAATACATTTATGCATAATATGTTTGTTACTCATTTTCTTTATTTTTTTAATACAGGGAAACAGAAGAGAAGCCAGGCTGGTGCTCCGATCCCCATTTGCCTCCGTGTGCAGCGTATGAACTTTTCTGATTTACTTGGTGAAAGATTTTAATTTGTTTTATTCTTTATCTTCTTGTGAGATATATATTTTATTTGGTACTCAGGTTTGTGGAAATTATGGCTCCCGTCTTTTCTCGAAATGCATGGCGCTGTGTGTGGTATATGATTCAGGTTGTTGTCGTGTTTTTGTTGTTGAACATAGAAATTCTCTCTCTCTCTCTCTCTCTCTCTCTCTCTCTCTCTCTCTCTAAGCTTGAGGTTTATTATATGTTGTGAAAATTTTGCAGAATGATCTGGTCCATGGATGGGGTCTCGACTTAGCCCTCCAAAGATGTGTTGAGGTCAGCATGCTATTTCTCTCTATAAAAAACGCTACCGAAATCCTTGATTCCTGTTTTAAATCTTTCCATCTCGCAACACAGACAACTGTGTCAGTGGAGTTATAACAGTTAGTTACCCTGCAAACAATAGAAATAATGGAACCTTGCAACTTCTTTCTTTTTCTTTGTTTTTTTATATTTTTTTATTTTTTTGTTGTTTACACTTTTTTGCAATTATTTATTTATTGAACACTCGAGGATGTAAAATGCTTTTTGTTTGCAGCCTGCTCATGAAAAAATTGGAGTTGTAGATGCTCAGTGGATTGTGCATCAGTCTCTTCCTTCATTGGGTGGCCAGGTATTATAGCGTAAAACCTGATATCACTTGATCTTCCTGTGTACATGCATTAGGCTCTTACTCTGGAATAACCTCTCTCTCTCTCTCTCTCTCTCTCTCTCTCTCTCTGTAACTGATAGGGGCACAGCGAAAACGGAAAGCCTGCATGGCAAGGGGTAAGTAACCTATAAAGCACGTTGATATTAAAATTGCTAGTCTACTTTTAACATCCTAACCCACTATGTATTTACTTGAAACCAAAGTGAATATAAACATTGATTTGATTTTAATACAAAAATTAAACTTGATCGAATATAAGTTTCATGAAATACAATATAAAGATTAGCTATGGCTAAGCCCAAATAGGTCAAGTTATTTTGGCTGATTTCGATGGCTTAAGTTTTCAAATAGGTGGTTATATCTAGATTGGCCTTTCTTCTTACCTTGATATTTTCCCTAATAAAATCCTGAGTCTTCCAAATTGGAAAGACAGTTTCTTGTATTTGTTTTTTTATTTTCTTGATCTGATCAAATCCATAATTTTGGGAAAAGCTTAAGCTCCAATTTTCATTTCACATCTCTGTAAAAATCCCCTATTTATATTTTATCCACATGCAGAAAATAATTAAAAAAAAAAAACAGCTAATACGACACCTTTTAGTACTTAAATTAAAACACAAAAACGTAGAATAAAAGCATAAAAGGAAATGCGACTCTCCAACGGTAAAAACGGTAAAGCTGCAACACCCAAAGCTCGACTTGGACACCAAAGTTGCAACATGTTTAATAAAAGAAATCCCATCTATTTAGGGGTGTATTTGTATTTGTAATGCCTGTAATTTTGAATGATTTGTCGACTTAAGCTTGACCCTTTTTAAAAAATGCTAGCAACCTTTTTCTCCATAAAAGCAGTTGTTGGTAGACGAATACGAATCACAAAACCACGTTTTTTTTTTTTATTTTTTTTTTTTTTTTCATTTATTGAAAGTTCTCTTCTGACAAAAATCTGTTCTCTATTGCTGTAAAATTCATTTGTGATCGCTGTTTTTCCCACTCGAGAATACTAACTTTGTATAGCTGATTACAGGTGAGGCAGAGGTGTCGCGCAGAGTGGGATATGTTCAAGGTCCGAATGGCGAATGCCGAAAAATCTTATTACACGTCCGTTGGAATCGATCCCTCCAATGTCACAGCTCATACATAGAGGTAGGATGAAATATCATAGCATAACCACCACAGTTATTTTTTGAATATAGAATCTCAAATAAAATTTAGGTTTAGTATCGATAGACGATAAATTTTCTCAGACAATTATACATGTTATCAAATATTTATAATGAGGATCACAGGCAATGTCACAAATTTTTTTACCTCTCTGGTTCGTGGTGCTTTGAGCATTGCTAGTTTGCAGTTATCCTTTTACTAATTTATTAGATACATCATGGATTGGGACTTAAAAAATTGTAAAGAATTTTCTCTTTATATTGATTTTTCAATTATGTTTGCAGTTTAAATTTTCTTAACATGAATATTAGTATGCATGCACTAAAACAATTAACATATAGAAGAGAAGAGAAAGAAGTTGTAAATTTGGATGCTCTCTATTCATCAATCTCATTAAAGCTTCGCTTAAAATCAGTGGGAAAAAAAAGTAGTCGATAAATTATCTGAGCATATGCGAATTCATGAGTTACACTTATTGTTTCATTAAAAATTTAATATATAAAAATCCTTGGAAAAAATACCTACTTAAAGGATTCTTTGTACATGCGCATTAGGTACCATGTAAACAAGTTATCAGTATTAAATTTGTATCACCTAAGTAATATATACACATTACTAATATCATTCCAAAATTTGAGTTATTATAGCACAATCATAAAAAAATTATTAAATAATAAATAAACATGGACAAAATATCATATGAATATAAAGAAAGAATCTATATTTATATCTATATAATAACAATAACCATTTACTAAAAATAGTAGTTAAAAAATTTGGGAGCATTTAATGCATACCTTTTTTTTGAAAATTTTTTAAATATATGCATTAATTGCTTCTATATACACGTTTTGAAATAAGATCAAATCAAACATTATAAAAAAAATATTTTCTTAAATAATTTTATTAATATCTGCAATAATTTTATTGATATCCATTATAATAAATTACAAGAGTGATTTTTCGTGATTCATATTGATAATATTTTGGTCAACATAAATATTATAACATATTTTAAGTTCTAACGATAATTTTTTTCACAAATATTCACTTTTTATCCAATAATATTTATAGAAAATCGTAAAAGGTTAGGTAGAATTTTTTTCTTCCAATTAATCAAGCGAAATCAAGTTGATGAATTAATCTTTGTCAATATAATTGTTTTTTAAGCTTTATTTCCTTATATATAAAAAAATAAATTATTCTTCAAATTAATATAATTTACCATTTAAGATATCATGACCATATACATTAAATAGTTTTATTAACGGTCAAAAATTAAAATTGAAATATGTTAATTGTTCTTTAGAATTTATTTGTATATTATTGGCTACCATGATTATTTTTTATTATTTTTTTATTTTGATTTCTTTCTATAATGAAATTCTTCTAAAATATATTTTCTTGCAGAGTATGTTAAATAAACTATAAATCTATAATGCAAATTAGAAAAATTTTGATTATAGAAGAGATTGAGTTTTTGGCATTTGCTAAATCAAAGTTGTTTACTTAGTCTATAAAATTAGATTCTAAAAAAACATGAGTCAATATTTTGTATTTATACACTATTTAATTTTAAATTTATTTACATATTTTAAATTGATTACATAAATAAATAATACTAACATGTATTAAATAATTTTCATTACATAAAATAAAAAGAAAAAGAAGACGTACAATTTCTATAACTTTTATAAATAATAATGATATTATATGACAACAAAGTTTATAATAAAATAATACTTAAGTACTATATGGTGAACAAGAATAAGTGAAACTGTTATTTTTTTTATAGCAAGGAATAAATAAATATACTAAAAGTAAATTTATACTAATATAAATGTATTAGTGAGATAATATATATTACTTATTTTACAAGCTAGCGCTAAGAATGTCTGCTTTTGCCTCTTACATAAAAATCCCCTTGACGTGGCATCTATTCATCAGTCTAGTAAGAAAATAAACTTTCTCCTCTTCTTGGGAGAGATTTGGTTCTAGTTATCATTGTCGAACCGTCTCCCGTATTCATTTTTAGGGCTACTAGACCCAATCCTGTGAAGAATTCTGCAAGGTCATGTAGATCTTCAAGATGGCTCATTCCACTATTTGTAAGTGGATTTTTCTTTTAAGATGACTCTCATCTTTTCGTCCTCCGTTATTGGTTTTTGAACTTTGTTGATGTCCCTTTTTGGTGAAAAAGAGTACTGTTCTGAAAGTTACTTTTCTTCTTCATCCGAAAGTATTGGGCTTGTCTTCCAATGATTTAATTTGTTTCTAGATACTTATAAAGATATTCAGTGTCTCCTTTTGGTTCTTCATTATTTTTTCCATCTTCATTTATATCTGGTGGATTTTTAGAAACCATATGTTGGAGTTCTCCATAACTTTGCGTTGTCCTTTTTTACTTCACGGATATCTGTGGAATACATAGAAGAGTTTGCAATAACTTCTTCCAGCCCTAACAAGTTATTATGACTCATCCTTCAATATGATTCATATGAGCTCTTTCTTGATAATTTAATAAATCACTTATATAAATTGGTTTACCAGAGGGCATCCATGGAATACTTTTTTTTTTATTTNTAAAAAAAAAAAAGGTTAATGAGCAACTATTTGTTGGTGTTATTGTTCGTGCATCTTCAAAATTTGAAGATACATATTATAATACACACAATTTGGACAAATTTCACTATCTATTCTTAAAATTTTCTCCTTCTAAATTTAATTACCACAAATTTATCTAAAAGTTTATAATAAAACCTGGATTCCAATACAATTTTATACGAAGCGGTACTCTCGAAACAATTTCAGGTACTAAATATAAAGAAATCAAGTACTGCATAATTTTTTTTTTTTAATTTAAGGCGTACTTCAATGAATGAAAACATACACTTTTTCTTTAATTTTAACTTTAGAAAGGACCATTTATTTTGACCTTAATATTTGACTAGGGAGTAGAATGGAAAAACTTTTGTGTAGTGACTGATTAGGAAGTGCGTAAAAGAAATTTTGTTCGAGATCATGAAAATTAAAGAAAAAAGATTGCTATCGATTTTGGAAAAAGTCTACGCTGATCTACAAGTAAATTTAATGGTTAAAAATTCCAACGAAATAGTTACTGTAGTTTTACCCTGATTTTGACTGCTTATTAAATATTTTTACCAGCACATCTATCGTTGCGCAGCTACTGTCCAGCCTCCTAACAGGCGGTGTCGCCTCCCACTCCGTAAAATCAAGCGGGTAAGTCTATTATNAAATGCGATTCCCTTGTCATTACAATTACCTTGGAATTATCTATTTCTATAATTATTGTTTTCAATTGCTTTAGAATAACCATGTGAATTCTAGGTTTTGATGACTAAAATTGTTGTCTAGGATTGTGAGTTTCGACTGATGTTAAAGGAGTTGGTGTGTGCCTTATTACTCGTATGCATTTAGCTGTGTGTTGACAGTGCCCTAGAAATGTATAATTTTTAGTTTTTCGAGTTCCAGCTAGCAATATATGGTAACTTTTGCTCAGATCGTTTGAGATAATTGTCCAACTGCAGGAATGTACATGCTATGGCATGGTGTTCAAATGGTCTATTGTTATGGAATGCATAATATAGCTACCTTACCGAAGAAAGAAAGCCCTGTATCTATGAACTGGTGTTGTGATTATTCTATTCACTGCAAAATTTCTTTTGCATCTCCTGAAGTTGATTGATAAACTTGGGATATCAATTAATTTATTGTTTGATTCGTTTTCTAATTGTTTGTGGACAGTGTTGCTTCTTCCTCTTCTATAACCTTATTTTATTTCTCAAGGAGCGTGGTGTTCTATCGATGCATCAGAATAATCATTATCCAGTTAGCAACTGCAATATTTTTGCTTGTTATCAGTTTCATCCCCGAAACTAATTCTTGTTGATATGTATATAGTAGGATTCAAGAATGGGTGATGTGTCGAGCGGAAAACATAAAAGAAAAGGCGAAGATAATTATTCCAAGACTACCAACAAGAAGTGGACACCAGAAGAGGATATGGCCCTGATTGCATCACTTTCCGAGTTATGCAATTCCGGATGGAAAAGGAAAAATGGAATCTTTAAGAATGGATACACAGCTGCACTGGAGAGGAAACTGAAATTGAAGCTTCCGGGCTGCAATATTAAGGCCAGCCCACACATCGAGTCTAGGCTGAAATTGCTTAGGAGGCAGTATGAAGCCATAAGAGAAATGCAAGGTGCAGATGGCATTCAATGGGTCGAGCAGGACAGCATGGTTCTATGCAAGGATGACAACGTATGGGAGAATTGGATCCAGGTTTATGTTATTGTTAGTTCTAACTAACAAATATTCACTTTGTTTGTTTCTATTTAAGAAAAAAAAAATGAAATATTGGTGAAACAAAATAGATTGCATCATGACTCTTGATATTTCGAAATGGCTATACTCGTGTTGGTTGATTGTCCCCCTTTTCTTTTTGGTTCTATTTTTTTTTTAAATTTTGAATGTTTTTTTTTGTTATTTTTTAATGATTTACAGGCTCATACTGATGCAAGGGGGCTAAGGAATAAGCAGTTCCCTTACTACAATGATCTACATCTTTTATTTGGAAAACGGGGCACAAGGGACGGCATTAATGACGAAGCTGATGGTGATAAAATATTTAATGACGATGACAGCAATGTTGTTATGAACCCGTTGATGGTGGACCAGAGTTTGGAAGAAGATGACCTACAAAACTATGACTTGAATGCGATGGTCAATAACAATGGTACTGCTGTTAAGGGTGCTGATAGCTTGATCAAAGACTATAAAAAGAGAAGAAGGCAGATAGATGTGATACGAAATGTGTCAAACTGCAATCATTTGCCTCATCCAGGGGAAGAAAGTCATCCATCAGAGGATTCAAATTCAACCAGGACTAACAATAACAATATTAATAATAATACATTAAATGAGGAGAATCTTTCGGCAGATGACATTATTAGGGCTCAAATCCAAACTCGTGGTTCAACTATTAGAGCCTCTGACAAGAAGAATTGTAAACATGACGGTGGATCATCCGAACTGGACTCGCTGGCGAAGATATTTGGTACGTTTCTTGAAAAATATGACAAGCATCTTTCTTTACTGGGACAAATAGTTGGCAGGGAAAGGGCTGCAGAAAAGATAGCCGCCGAGAAAAGAGTCAAGCTAAATGGGGAACTGAAAAAATTGCCTAACCTTAACTTGCAAGCCAGACTACGGGCAGCGTCTTTGATGGTGAATGATTCTGCTAGACTCGACCTCTTTTACAGTCTTTCGGAAGAGGAGAAAAATGAATGGGTATCGATGTTGCTCAATGGACAAATATGAGGAGGTCTATATCTGTTGTTTTCTTCTGAGGTAGCTGATAAAGCATTGAGGTAAACTACGTGCTTTGATCGCAAAAGATCGACCTGTAATCGAATAGATACTAGAATAATTATAGTTGTCAGGAAAATTGGGTAGAAAATATCAGATTGGAAGAGGTGGTTACATATTGCGATATCCATTTGGGTCATATGGTATGAGATCTTCATGCTAGTACATCCGTTTTGGTTTGTCTGAAATTTTTATTTTGTCAACCGTACGCATAAATCGCAGCATAGTTGTGAGTATTTGCCGTTTTATCCCCGCCATAGTAGAATAGAAATCTTCACAAGTACATTATTTTTAATCTAATCTTTTTTCTGCTATGCTATAGCATTTCTGCCTCATCCAATCTAGATGATGTGGCTTTGATGTAGGTGAAACATATTCGATATGCATTTATGTTTTAAAGAGCCTCAAATTCCTTGAATCGTTTGAGATGGGCGGTGCTTGTCCACAGCAATAAAAGACCCTTAGTGGGCCACATATCAAAATTTGAAACCATGAAAAATGCTGCCTGTGTATGTTCTGTCAATGTCATTCTGAAGTTTGCCGTGGCCCCAATTGACATTTCTGATCTTACAGGTATAGTTTTTTTTGTTTTTTTTTTGTTTTTTTCTTTTTTTCCTTTTAAAAAAGGAGGATCAGGTATAGTTTTGCTGTCCTTTATTATGCTGAGACAAGGTCTCATTCTGGTTGTTCAAAGCCCTCATATTTGATGGTAATATGATCTTCATGCCCAGTCTTGAAATCATCGTAACATCGATAAATATGTGCACCATTGTGGTGCTGCTTTATGGGCCATGTCTCCAAGTCCGGGCCCGACTACTGTTGCAGTGGTTGAACTGGCCGTTATGGTTAGTGTATATCTCAGGCCTTGTGTGCATGCTTGGCTTGGGCCTGAAAACGTGGTGTTGCACTGGTAATCATGCATGCTGAGGTAGTCTTCCTCCATTATGGTGCAGTGGTATTGTGTGTAGCCTTTGGCAGGGTAAATTTGCAATTTGTTCAGATCTTTTTTTTTGTTTTTTTTTTTTTCTTTTTTTTTTTAAGTTTTTTTTTTTTGGTCCAACGATAGAAAATATATATATAGCAAGTCAAATACAGACTAGACAACGGCTAAAAGCCGACAACAACCTGTCTTTGAAGCTTCTTTTGTCAAATACAGACTAGACAAATTGTTCATATATATGTCATAGCGTTGTCAAAAATAGGTCATGACTTTAATTTGATGCCATGGTTGAAAACACATTCTGGTGTTGATATCATAATCCCATAGCCCGGATAACACCTGTCTTTGAAGCTTCTTTTGTCGTCCGCTAATCCAATTGTTATGGATAGCAAGACAGCCTATTTCCATACATGCTTTCCTCGTGTCTTTCTTCTCCCACAAATCTAAGTATGCTCCGTTTGGGAACAGATTTCTATTCAAGAAGTGAACAACCAAACCTGTGTTCGGTTCCAGGCATCGGTTGTCGCCTAACCTGTAAGACCCACTTTCCCCGCATAATGTGTCGTAGAAGCTCGGCTGTTCGGATAGGTTTGAATCTGCCGCATGCTGCACCACCTTATCCAGTGCGGCTATAGTTGTGTTGTCCGAATGTGCATAGTAGAAACCAGAGTTAAGGCGTCGAGGTAAGTTTATTGGCCCTACCAAAATATATATAGAAACAATTATAGAGGAGAGGAATGAGAGAGAGAGAGAGAGAGAGAGAGAGAGAGAGAGAGAGAGAGAGTTAATAACTTTGTATTGGTTATCAGTTTTTCATATAATATATCAAATTAATCATCTTTTGACACTTTCGATTTGATATCCATATTGGATATATAAAATAAATAAATTAATTTATTTTTTATTATATACTTAAATTATCTATCAATACTAATTAAAAAATTAATAAAATTATACATCAATTAAAAAAGTTATCGATAAATTCATTTCATTACATTTCAATTAGAAAAATTATTATACTATAAGATAAATTCATTACATTTCAATTAGAAAAATTATTATACTATAAGGCGAACAAATCGTACAAGGAAAAGTTACTTTTTAAATACAAATAATAATGTAATTTTTAAAAAGTATTTAAAATTCAAATATAAGAAATTTCTCTCTTACATTTTTTTAATAAAATTGTATATCTATTAAAAAAGTTGTCTATAAATTCATTAAATATGAATTTGAAATATAAACAAATCTTACAAGTAAAATGTCTCATTAAAATAATAATAATAATAATAATAATGCAAAAAGTATTTGAAATTCAAATAAAAACAACTTCTCATTTGCATGTTTTTTAAAAAAATTATTGTATAATTTTTTGAACTATCACCCGCGTAATCACGGGTGTTGTACTAGTTAACTATTAATTCGTTAAGACAGTGAAATGAGTCTAAACAGAGAGGCTATCAAATCAAGAGCACCCAAAAATTAGTAGTTAGAGGAGTATATAATACCTGTCAAATTGTATTCATCCGACTGTGCCACGAGAACTGCGGGACCAAAGGAACTCAGATAGCTCAATGGATTCTTGAACCAATACACATCCACATCACTCAGTAGCACATTATACCCAAGCTTTAGTATTTGCAGAACCACTCTCGATTTAACTTTAGTTACTTTCTGGAAGCACACCGTTCCAAAATGGCAGTCATTGAAGCTGATGTTGGTTGGACGATATGCGCACTTGACAATCGGCACACCCTACCAATAAGAAAATATGAACACATTAGTGGACAACTTAAAGTTAGATCAAGTGTATACATGTAATCACAAAAACAAGTCCTATGTTTTTCAATTACTAATATGGGAAATGATAAAAAAAATAAAACACATGAACACACCTGCAAGAGCGAGAAATTGTAAATCTCATCATCAAGTGCACAAACCAAAAAATTGAATACTCTAAGGTGGCGTAGCCTGCAGACCCAGCTCATGAGCATATCCTTGTAACTATATCCTGCAACTCCAAGTATAATCGTCTTATTCTCATCAGCCTGCATCGACAGAAGAGATTCTAAGGAAAACGGAGGTGAAATTGCTACCGGCACTCCTGATGACTCTTCCAAAGAGCACCCTTCAAGCCCTTGAAGAGATTCCAATGCATCAACACAGTCGAGTACATTCTTTTGTTTAAAGGATAAAGAGGCAGTGCCAGTGACCCTGCCCAGAGGATATACAGTGTTTTGGTAAGTGTTGACGAGTAGAAAGTTGTGGCCACAGTTGAAAGATTTGAACAAGTTAGAATAGTTGGCACGCCGGAAAGAAAACGACCCATAAAGCCTTCCTAGAAGGGAATTTCCGAGATTTTCCCAACTCGTGAATTTGTGATCATTTTGGTCAACATCGTTTATGTAGAAACTAGAAATGGTCAAACTCGCATCGATTACGAGCCGATAGTCGGAGATCAAGGCTTCGGTTAAGATCCAATGGTTGTGAACTCCCTTTCCATACAAAAATGGGGGAAGGATGCCCTTGTGAATGGGCGTATCTCCATTGTTCCATGCAATAAGCATCCTTTCCTGACATGGGTAACCAAAAGGTTTACGAGAAAGAAGTTCCTGCAACTGATGTGAAAGGAGAATTAGAATACATCATCACAAGATTAGCTTTCAACTCGGCCTGTAAAAAAAAAAACAATAATTTTCAAAATTATAATTAGCTGACACTCTAGGTTTTAATAGTTACATCAACTACACTACCCCAAGGCCATTTGCAAAATAGAAACGGAAAAAGAATATAGTAGTTTTATTTTCCTTCTTTTTTGGGTAGTTATTCAGTGGCTAAGAAAAGAATACAAATCTGGTTCTGGCATTACCATTTGTGTTCTGAAAGGTCCACCATCATCTGCCAGCCGACGTTTCCCATCAGAATCTAATTGAAAGGGGAAATTGGAAATGTTTCGTGATGAAGCTACAAGGAGCCAATCTTCATCAAGCTTGTGAGCATACTTCAAGGTGGTTAAAAAGTTCGACAAGAGAATGGTCTCGGGATCAATCAAGACAGATATATCCGATGATGATGCCAGAGATCTCGCAACCATTGAATGGAAAAACGGGGTACCCAGGAAACTAGTAAACAAATGGCATTTTAATTATTAATCAAAGTACTTCATTACCTAAGGAAAAAAATGTCCAAAGAAAAGGCTTTCAGAAAATCTTAAAAACCTCTATCCTAAGATTCTTAACTAAACTAGTCTTTTACCTAGATAGTAATCACAATTCAATATGGATATCATCATCCAAAGCAAAAATTTTGAAATTTCCCAGCCATATGCATGAATACACAACCGAAACTCGTTAACATGCTAGAAGTTACAAGGACAAAACGAAAATAAGTCAGTAACAGCCATCTAATAATTTTAGATAATACTCACGTGAAGTCGATGTTGGTCTCGACTGTGACCCGTGAACCAAATGAATCAGCAAAGGACAGAACAGAGGGGTCTTGGCTGAACAGAGCAACATTTATATTTTTGGACAATCCAAGCCATGACCTTACTGCAAGAGCCTGGGTCTCCCCAATCAACCCCACAAAAGGCTTAGGAGCAGTAAATAGAGTGGTCTTGGGGATACTTAAATCCCCAAAATCAGTAGCAAAGGGACCTGGTTTCTTTGTAGTGATCTCATCTTTCAGAAAAGTGGGCAGCTTTTGAGTGCCATAGAAGGATACACCAATCAAGAAAGCCCCACATATCCAAACGAATAATAACCCACTCTGCAGAATCTACAAACAAAAAAAAAATAAAAAAAATTACAATTTTGAAGGTCTAACTTAAAATGATACTCAACAATGGAATCCAAGAATTTTGAAAAAAAAAATAATTTATTTAACCTTCTTGTTATGGAGAGAGGATAAGCGAAACCAAGAGCTCGATTCCATCATTTCTAACTATACCGATGAAATGAATCGGTTGCGGGGGAAGGGAGGATTTGATGTATTTAAACGTGAAAAAAGGGCTTCAAGAAGAGTGGAAATGCAACAACCATCTGCAGACTAATAGGTTTTCTGGCGGCCAACCACATGCGCAAGTTTTCACAATCTTCTCGAGCTACTATCCTCCAAATTCCAGGAGAAATAGCCGATTGGTGGATCCCATTTGCCAAACTCACATTTCTGAAATAATCCATCAGCTAGAAATATATCCATGGTAGCTAGTGAAAATTCTCTCGTCGGGCGAAAATTATCTCCAATGAGAAATTACGATTCCTCGTATGCAGACATTGATCCAGTTGAATTAAGTTGACAAATTCCTCAATTTGTTAAGGGTTAGCTGTTATTCTTGTCTTCCCTTCTTCAGTCTTTCGTCCCTTCAGTATTCTGTTTTCAGTCTTCTTCAGTCGTCGCCCTTCTCTTCTTTCCGTTCTTATGTGTTTGTTTTCCTGGTGCAGGTGCTTCCCCAGTTTCCATTCTCTCTACTAGGTCACCTCAAGTCAAGCTTTTCTTCATCGAGGCTGAAATATCTTTTAAGCTGGTTCCTTTCAATTAGCTGAACAAGAAGCTGGTTTGATGATGTCACCAAGTGAGTTCTGACCTTCACGTTGATTAAATTCTAATATAATAATAACGCATTGGATGCTGCTACTTTCGTACAAAAAATCGATTATTTTAATTATCAGTTATTAAATAAATTACGAATAATTTATTTTAGACATAAAGAGGTAATTCGAGTAATTTAGTAGTGGATCTCAACTCGTAATTTGGAAATTAAATTAGGATAATTAAATAATACTACTTTGGTGGAATGACTGTATTATTCATATTTGGGCTACGTAATTTGACTTACAGTTAGGTCCAAGTATGGAAAGCTCAATTTAATGCCTCCTTTGGTCCCTATTAAAGCCTATAAATACACCTCTTCTCTAGTCTTCCAAAACATACAACATATGGATATATCTTGAGTCTCCTTCCCACCAAGGGAGTTTTAGAGGTGTTAAGTAATTCAACAGAAGGTCTTAAGATAGTGAGCACCCGACCCATCAGTCGAGCACTCGACTACCGTAGCCTGTCCAGCACCACCGCGACGCCATCGCTGCCAATCCGCGAGCTCCCAGCGACTCGTCCCGAACACCCACTGCACCCGGTTGCTCCCAGCAACCCGTCTCGATGAGCCGCGAGTTCCCAGCGCCTGACACTGAGACTAGCGACATCGTAAAGACCCACGACGCCGAGATTCGTGAGAATCTTGCGACCCGCTCAACGCCAGCCAAGTCCCGCGACCTGTTTCTCAGTGACTGATCGCAACCCGTTTCTCCCGGCAACCACACGCACTCAACCCGCGACATCCCGATGAGTATAGTCCGACAATCCTAACGGACTCTAAGGTTTAGACGATCTCCAATAGCGAAAATCAGAAACATCTCAGAGTCGACAAATTATTAAACCGTATGTCTTCTACCTTAACCTATAGATCCGACACGCATAAGTTATTTCGTAGATAAATTTGTAACTTGCACATTAGCGGCGGTCCTTATAGATCCCAACACAAAGAACTCTATTGGAAACAAAAATATAGAGTTCTTTTGCTTAGGACTGGCAAAATCAATACTAAATTTTTCCATGCTAGTGTTAAACAGAGGAGAAGCCAGAATAGCTTGGTAAATTTCTTAAATGCTAAAGGGACAAGATGTATGAACAATCAAGAAACCTTGGATGAAGTTAAAACTTATTTTGAGAATTTGTTCAGAACATTTGATCCTCAAGTTGTGAAAACAAAAGTATAAAAAGAAGATAAGAAATGAAAATGATATGTTGCTGTATGTGATTTCTGATAATTTTTATTGATTCAATACAAAGCAAATGTACATGCATATATAGCACAGCAAGTAGCTATACTAGGAAATATTCTGTATCAATTACAATCAACTTAAATGATATGTAATCCCTGATTTTCTTCATTTCCTGCAATTAACAAATCTTCCCATAATACTCCCCCTCAAATTGGTGTGTGTATGTCATGAACACTCAATTTGTTGAGAATTGGCTGAAAATTGGATGAACTGAGTGGCTTAGTAAACAAATCAGCAAGTTGTCCCTTTGAAGGAACGTAAGCAGTCTCTATGTCTCCTGATTGAATTTTTTCTCGAACAACATGACAATCTATCTCTATATGCTTTGTCCGTTCATGGTAAACCGGATTAGCCGCAATATGTAACGCCGCTTGACTATCACAAAATAGTTTCGCTGGTCGTGGGTGTTCTACTCGCAAGTCACTCAACAAGTATCTTAGCCATGTGAGCTCACATGTTATTGAAGCCATTGCTCGATATTCGGATTCTGCTGAAGACCTTGACACAGTCGTTTGTTTCTTTGTTTTCCATGAAATGAGAGCTCCTCCAAGAAAGATGCAATACCCAGTTACCGATCGTCTTGAGATTGGACAACGAGCCCAATCAGAATCACAGAATCCTGTTAATAGAAAATTCGCCTTGGCTGGAAAAAATAGTCCTCTCCCAGGTGCACCTTTAAGGTACCGTAAAAGATGATGGACAGCATCTAAATGAGGTTTCCTTGGTTCTTGCATAAATTGGCTTAAAACATGAACAGAATAGCTAATTTCCGGTTTAGTAATTGTGAGATAAATAAGTTTACCAACCAATCTTCTATAAATTGATGGATTTTTCAATTTATCTCCATCAGTGGGCAATAGCTTTATATTTTCTTCCATAGGAGTCGACAAAGGCTTGGCTCCAAGGAGACCTGCTTCTTCTAAAATATCAAGTGTATATTTTCTTTGAGATATTGAAATACCAGTAGCTGAACGGGCAACTTCAACTCCAAGGAAGTATCGTAATTGGCCGAGGTCTTTAATCCGGAACTTTGTACCAAGGAAGTCTTTTAGAGCGCCGATTTCTCCATTATCATTACCTGCTATGATCATGTCGTCAACATAGATGAGTACAACAGTGAAACTATCACCAGAAACTTTAGTAAAAAGTGAATAGTCAGCCGATGATCGTTGAAAACCATTTTGTTGGATACTATCGGAAAACTTATGAAACCAACTTCTGGAAGCTTGCTTTAGCCCATATAATGATTTGTTTAGTCGGCACACCATAGGTATCTCCCCCTGCCGACGAAGACCGGGAGGTGGTTGCATGTATACTTCTTCCGTTAAATCGCCATGAAGGAAAGCATTTTGTACGTCCATCTGTTCAATGGTCCAGTTACGAGCAGCAGCTACGGCAAGCAAACAACGAACAGTCGTTAATTTTGCTACCGGCGCGAATGTCTCCTTGTAGTCGATTCCTTCTCGTTGATTAAACCCCTTGGCTACTAAACGAGCTTTATAGCGCTCAATTGTGCCATCGGAATTATATTTAATTTTGTATACCCATTTAGAGCCAATGGGACGATGACCAGGGGGGAGAGTTGTAAGTGTCCAGGTGTTATTTTCCTCAAGGGCTTTTATTTCTGCATCCATAGCCTTACGCCAATTTGGATCAAGTATAGCCTGTTCATAATTAGCTGGCTCTACAGGTGTATTAATAGCACAAATAAATTTATGATATTTTGGCGAAAGATGCGAATAAGAAATATACCTGGACAAAGGATGACGCGTGCCCGAAGCAGAAGATTGGCCATGATCTGATTGGGAAATATTATAAAGGTGGTAATTCTTCAAATGAACATTTGACTGTCTAATGCGATCAGAACGACGTGGAACATTGGGTAATGGATGCTCAGTGATATTAGTATCAGGAATATTCTCATTTTCAGGAAGAGTATTACTGTCTGTTTGTACATCTTCTGAAGTGGAAGGTAATGGGATGACAATTTCATCAAGTTGGTCTTCTTGATGGTTCATGCGGAATGGAAATATATGCTCATGAAACACGACGTCTCGCGACGAAAAGAATTTATTAGTTACAAGATCATAAACTCGATAACCTTTTTGACCAAATGGATAACCAACAAATATGCATTGACGAGCTCTTTGATCAAATTTATGTACAGGTAGAAGGTTAGTAGCATAGCAAAGACATCCAAAGGTTCGAAGATGATTATATATGGGAGTCTTATTATGCAAAATTTCATATGGAGATTTATATGAGAGAAGGGGTGTAGGCAACCTGTTAATTAGATAGCAAGCTGTTTGTATACTTTCTCCCCAAAATTTTAAAGGCAAATTTGCCTGAAAACGAAGAGCTCGTCCCACATTTAGAAGGTGACGATGTTTTCTCTCAACTACTCCATTTTGTTGGGGAGTTGAGGGGCATGAATGGTGATAATTTATTCCCTTAGTTGCTAAATAATCTTTCATTGATAAAATTTCTGTACCATTGTCAGTTCGAAGAGTTTTGATCCTGCAACCAAATTGTGTTTCAACCCAAGAAATAAAAGATTTTAATAACTCTTGTGTTTCTGATTTAAAACTCATAAGATGTATCCAAGTATATCTAGAATAATCGTCGACTATTGTCAAAAAATAACGAGCACCAGAATGAGATTTTATTTTATGCGGCCCCCAAATATCACAATGTATCAAGTCAAACGGTGATTGAGAAGAAATTGTACTGGAAGGAAAAGATAAACGTGTTTGTTTTGCAAGGGGACAAATTTCACAAATATGCTTTGAATCAAAACAAATTTCAGGAATAGTTTTGCTTAAAACTTGAAGAGGACCAGATGACGGATGCCCAAGTCGGCTATGCCAAATATTCGAGATATTATTTAAAGTGCATGCTAAAATTAAATTTTCATTCTGCTGTAGGTAGTAAAGGCCATTATGTTGCTTGCCCAGGCCAATCGTCCTCTTCGTAGCAGCGTCCTGCACAACACAAGAGTCCGGGGTAAAAGTTACTGTACACCCAAGTGCTCGAGTTAGTTTGCTCACAGATAATAGATTAACTTGGAAATCTGGAACTTTAAGAACACCCTCGAGTTTAATGTTGTGTGTAATATCTAATGAACCAACTGACTCGATATTTGCCTGACCACCATTTGGCATATTAATTATTGTTTTTCTAGACAAATTTTGTGAATTTAATAGCCTGAATGAGGACGTGACGTGATCAGTGGCTCCACTATCAATAATCCAACCAGAATTTAAGTGCTGAGAATTATGAGATATTGGTTTGATAGTACCTGTAGTATTAGCAAATCGTTGAGAGTTACCGTCATTGTTTTTCTGAATTATGGCCAATAGTTGATTGTACTCCTCGGTTGTAAGTCTTGGCCCATCAAGGTTCTGAACAGACTTCCCGCTGCTATCTGGTGCAATGTTTCTCTCCAGTTTTACATTATTTGCAGTATTTTGGCGTTGATTTGGAGGTTTCACACTTTTTCCGTGTAGTTTATGGCCGGTAGGAAACCCATGAAGATAATAGCATCTTTCAATGCTATGATTGTTGAGATCACAATAGGAACAATGTCGTTGCGTCTTGTGTTTTTGAACTTTATGGACTTGAGAAATTTTTGAATTTTGATCTACCAGCATAGCATGATGATTCATATTTCCTTGATTAATGGAGACTTCAACCTGTTTTTCTTGTTGTAGAATGAGAGAATAGACTCGACGAGTGTCTGGTAGAGGTTGCATTAGTAGGATTTGTCCACGAGCAGCAGCGTAACTCTCGTTTAGTCCCATGAGAAATTGCATAACTCTCTCTTTCTCATCCCTTTTCTTGAGTTGTTCCAGTCCTCCACAAGAGCATGTTAAAGGCTCATGATATGATGAAAGCTCATCCCAAAGGGCTTTCAGTTTTGTGTAATAAACTGAGATGGATTGTTGCCCTTGTCTATGTTCCACAATCTCTCTTTTTATTTGAAAAATTCTGGAGTCATTTCCTTGTGAGAAGCGCTCCTCAAGATCAGCCCAAATTTCTGATGCGGTTTCAGCATAAATGACGCTACTTGCTATATCTGGGTGAATCGAGTTCAATAGCCACGAAATCACCATGTCGTTGCATCTTTGCCAATATGGAAATTTCGCATCGGATTTTGATGGTGCTTTGACTGAATTTGTGATGAATCCAATCTTATTTTTTGCGCTCAGACTTATTCTCATTGCTCGACTCCAAGTGCTGTAATTATCGCCTTCCAGTACCTTGGAGACGAGTATCATGCCTGGGTGGTCTGATTGTTGTAGAGAGTATGGATCTGAAAATTCTACACCAGATCCAGACATTTTGGTTTGAAGATTTTCTTCAGTACTCATGGGGTTACGAGATATAGCGGAAGCGTTGGAAATATTTAGTCACCAGGTTCAGTTCTCTGATGCCATGAAAACAAAAGTATAAAAAGAAGATAAGAAATGAAAATGATATGTTGCTGTATGTGATTTCTGATAATTTTTATTGATTCAATACAAAGCAAATGTACATGCATATATAGCACAGCAAGTAGCTATACTAGGAAATATTCTGTATCAATTACAATCAACTTAAATGATATGTAATCCCTGATTTTCTTCATTTCCTGCAATTAACAAATCTTCCCATAATAAGTTGAGAGTTGCAGTTTGCAGCGGATTCCCTCAATCCATAACAGAGGCAATGAACCTTTAGTTAATAAAGCCAGTTGAGGAAGAGAAAATGAAAAGTGCTCTAATGGATACGGACCCCAATAAGGCTCCTAGAGTATGGTATATCTCAAACTTCCTTGTGTTAAACACCACCTTTGTTTAGCTATTAAGATCTTCTTTAATTTTGACAGGCTTTCTAAAGCTACTAATCACACTGTAATTACTCTCACCCCAAAATAACAAAAAAAATGTTCCTAGAGTTTCTGATTTTAGGCCTATTAGCCTTTGTACAATTACTTATAAAATTATTATAAAAATTTTAGCTAATAGGCTTAAGCTTGTTCTTAATAGTTCTATTTTTTCTACCCAGTCAGCTTTTGTCTCAGACAAATTTTGGACAATGTGATCATAGCTAATGAATGCATTTACTACCTTAACATTAAATGAAAAGGCAAAGAATGTTCATGGTAGTTAAAATAGACATGGCCAAGGCCTATAATTGGGTAGAGTGGAAGTTTCTAGTTAGAGTCTGTAAAAAAATGGGGTTCTTTGATTAGTTTGTAGCTTGGATTATGGCTTGTGTTTGTTCATCTTCCTTCTCTTTTAACATAAATGGTCAATTCCTTAGGTCAGTGATTCCTTCTAGAGTTATTAAGCAACGATACCCTTTGTCTCTATATTTTTTTCATTTTGCTTTCAGAGGCTTTCTCAAATCTTTTGAATCAGTCCTGTTTGATTGCTGATTATAAAGGTATGAACATAAGTAAATTTGCTCCTTCTTTTTTACCTACATTTTCTTTGCAGATGATGCAATTCTTTTTTGTAAGACCTTTATTGACCAAGCCCACATTATAATGAATATTCTAAAAGAGTACGGGTCAGCTTCTAGTCAGATGGTCAATCTTCATAAATCCTTTGTATTTTTCTCTAGGAATTATGATATTAGAACTGTGGCTAATATATGTAAAGTCCTTAATGGTATTTTTTGTGTTAATTCTGTCAAATATTTGGGACTGCCTCTAGGGATTGAAAAATCCTAGAGAGAAACTTTTAGGTTTGTGAGTGATTATGTGTTGATCTCATAAGCAATAATTGGAAAAATTATATTTTTTAGTGAGGAAGGAAAAGAGGTGATGATAAAACCAGTCTTAAATGCTTTTCCCGTGTATGTTATGGCTTGCGTTAAAATTCTTATTTCTGTGTGCAAGGATATGTTTGAGGATGTGGCTTCCTTTTGGTGCGGCAAAAAATGAGAAAGGAGTAGATGATTTATTGGGCCTTTTGGGATTTTTTAGCATATCGATTATTGGGCTGGGATCCTCTTGAGGATTTGAGTCATCACCTGCTATTAGTTTTAGTTTTTTTATGCTTTTCCATTTGTGCGTAAATTATTTAAATTTTCACAGTGCACTGCAGGTTGATGTTGCTTAATAGAATCCTTGGCTCGCTTGTATTGGTCAATGGTCTGTCCTAATGAAACTTAAAACATTCAATCTATTTTTTTTTTGTTTTCCTTGACGACGTCTAATTACAAAGTTAGTTGTGGTCTCCCTTTTCAATTTTTCTTTTTCCAAATGGATCAACTTGATTTTTATCGTGATGTCTAATTCTATTTCTTGGGCTTATGAATTTTTATTAGTTTATCATGTCAATGACTTTTGTCATATTATTTTGAGATACTTGAATAGCAGTTTTGAGTCTTTCTTTTTGTTCTGTTTCATGTGTTTGAGGCTACGCATGGAGTTAGTGCTGCTTGAATAAGGAAGGTGATGGCTAGTTGGTGATGCTCTTTGGGATTGTGATGGTGATGTTCGTTGTGATTGAAGAAAGTTGGTGATGTTCGTTGTGATCGTGATCGTGTGTAAATGAATGATTTTTTTTATTTTTTTTTTTACTTTTTGCTTTTGTTCCGACTCATTCAAGAGCCTTTCTTCAAATTTTCAATGTGCAATTTTTGTTGTGATCATGATCATGTACTAATGAATGATTTTTTCCCTAAATTTTTGCTTTTGTTCTGACTCATTTGAGAGCCCTTCAAATTTTTACCGTGCAATTATTCATTGATTCTGAAGACGAGTGCACATTTAATTTTGTTGGTTCAAGTTCTTGTTGGGTGCCCGGTAGAACATTTGCTTGTGCTTAAGAAAAATGTAAGTGACTTGAAAAGGAATTTTATTTTTTATTTTTGAAGAAAATGAAGTTGTAGGAAGTGGTTTATGATCTTCCAATATCGTGGTGAAAAATCTTGATGAATGAGACCTAGTTTTGATTTCCATTCTTGTTATAATGCTAAACATATTTAGTTTTATTTATTTTAATGATTTTGAAAATTTTTATGTGGATGTTATTAAGGCAATGTTGTTTGTAAATGGGCTATGATTTTGAAATTAAGGTCTACATAAACTTTATTTATGTGTAGAATTTGGGAGTTACTGGTAAAATAGATTATGTATTTTTTATTTTTAAGTAACGTAAGAAGGAGAGATGGAAAACTCAGTTTTAGTAAGAGAGGTATAGTTGGAAAATAAGTTAGCAACATTTAAATGAAGGACAAAACAAACAACTTTATGTGTTAATGAGTAGGCTATCACATTCTCACAAAAGAAACCAAACATTAGAATGAGATGAATTAATATGAGTGGATACGGAAGGAATATCAATTGAGATGTATCAAACTCAGTCAAGTATTTCTTGATATAGAGTGGGAAATAGAAAAAACAAAGTTCAGAATTTTATTACAAAACATGGACAATCTTGGAAGAAAAATTAAAAAGATTAATAAACCTACTAAAACAGGTAACAGTTGCATAAAATAAAATAACAAATATAAATAAATAAAGTGCTTAGAAGATATCTTATATTCGTGTCCTTTAATGGGTTCAGACATTAAATTGGAAAATACTAATAATGATGCCATGCTTATGTAAAATACCCAAAAGTAAAGGGGGCCTTCCAAAAAATGACCTTCCAAGTTCCAAAGCCCAGCCCACACATTAATCCCGCACATGCAGCCACGTTTCATTAGTGTAGTTACACCTGGCCCGATTTCTCTCTTCCACGTGGCTAAAACTCTGTTTGCGGTGCTTTGCTCCAAACTGGCCCTTGCTTCCCTTATTCCCAGGATCTTCCCAACAACATCCCCACCGGTACGTTCAAACAAAAAAAATTCCCATTCCGCAGATAACAAACAAACGGAAGTTAATAAAAAAAATGTCAGGCGCGTCATCAGTAGGCGTGGCTGTTCCTCCTCCGTCGAGTTCGGCGGGCGGCGGCGCGGGCGTTATGGGATCCCTCCGCGTAATCGAGCTCCAGCTGGTGGCTTTCATCATGGTTCTGTGTATTAGCGGACTTATCCCCCTCCTCGACATGGTTTTCCCCGCAGCCGCCTCCCTCTATTTCCTGGCCCTGTCCAGATTCGCCTTTCCCGGGCTTAACAATAACAATAACAATAGTAATAATAATAATCGAATCGACAAGAGGAGCGAGAGTATGGGCAGATTTTTCAGATTTTATGTGATTTTGGGGATGAGTGTGGGGCTTTTCCTGCCGCTAGCGTACGTCCTGGGCGGTTTTGCAAGAGGGGACGAGCACGCGGTCAGATCGGCCGCCCCGCACCTCTTTTTGCTCTCCTTCCAAATACTCACCGAGAATCTCGTCACGGCTCTCTCCCTCTTCTCGCCTCCGCTGAGGGCCTTAGTCCCCGTGCTCTACACGGTTCGCAGGATCTTTGTCCTCCTCGATTGGACTAAAGACGTTTGGATCAACAAAGCCCTCCCTGCTAATGCCCCCTTGGACGTACGTGCATTCTATTAATTCATTCATTCACATCGATTCACATCGTCTTAATTAATAATTTTGTTGCAGGTGCTTGTGTGGTATTGGTTTGGAAGGGGACTCTCGATAGCGAATCTGGTGTATTTTTCGGTCAACTTGTTCTGTTTTCTGATTCCGCACTTCCTTCCGACGGCATTCGAGAGGTATTTCAAAGAGAGGGATGAAATGCACATGAAGATGGCCGAGGATAAGCCTGCACCTGCACCTGCACCTGCAGTCTCAAACGCATCTCTGGACTCGAATAAAAAGGCGAATTGATTTGCCGTGTAATTGGCTTACTATATACCATTAGTGTACTTTCTAGAGATCACTTGCTGCTACCAGTTTCTTCTTCTTT